CTGCTTCGAGGCCTGGTGCCAGAGCAATGGAGACACCTGCCCCGCTTCTGATGGCTGCCACATGCTTGGAATTCTTGCGCTGTTGATTTGATACTGGAGGTGACAAATCGTGCGTCCCAACTGTTTCAAAGCAGTTTGTCAAGTTTGCTGTGATAGTGCCCACTAGAATCACTGCATGGTGGACTGCCAGTGAGAAGATGCAACATCCTGTTAAACCAAATGGCTTGTTGTACACGCCGTTGGTGTGATGCGAAGATTCTAATGGTCCGGTCCAAGAATTGAAACACCTTTTCCAAACAAGGCCAGCTCCGACCAACCTTCTAAGTCAATGATTTCACCTGGCCACAAAAACCAACCAAAGACACCTTGACACCGGCAAGGATGCTATCAGGGGCTCCTGGCATCGCTACTAGGAGCAAAGGGTATCGCTACGAACGGAGCAAAAATGGGTCTTTCGGTTGACTGCCTCAGACAGCACCGCGGAGCCGAGGCGGCTGGCCCGGGCCCTGCGACGCTCTCCCGGGCCGACTCGCCGGAGACGCCGCCGGCCGCGCGCTGCCTGCGGAAGGACTCTTTGGGGTCGGGCATGGGGAGTGTGGGGAGCGTGTGCCTTGGCGTCTAAAGCAGTAATGCATGAACAAACCAATGGGGAACACAGAAATTAAAATCAAACCATCTGACCCTGCAACAAGAATCGAAAGGGACCTCAAGGCATCAGAAGGATTTGACATAGCACACTGAAGCAACGCATCTAATAGTTTGTTGGAGCAAAGGAAGCCTTTGCCAGCTTGAATGCTAGCAATCTTATTGAATCCGAATTCAGAAGGGTGGGTTGCAGTTGAAGGAAAACGATGCACACATTTAAGGAGTTTCAAACATAGATTTTGAACTGCATCGCTAAATGTTTCAAACTGAGTCACTGGAGAGCCAAGGTTCTTGGAAACTGTAAACAAGGTAGAATCGAGAACAACAACAATCGATGACTCATGACCGCTCTTTTCGTGTTGCACGGTCCTTTTACGTCTGCTCAAAAGATGTCGAAACCAAAAGTGCCACACCAAGCACATGAGCAGCAGGTCGACGAGCTCCTGGAAGCTACTGGGAAGGCCAGGGACCGTTGCAAACCAGGTGCCTCGCATTTCCTGCCAAGCCACGGCCTCAAGTGCTGTTCTTCCACCGAGGACACCTTCTGGCACACGGCATTAAACTTTGCGTCCTCACCGCACAAGGCGATGCGAGCTGGAGACTCGTCCGACCGCGCAGTCATCCCAAAGGGCTCTTCCATTCCACCTCGCAAGGGGCTGCAGCTAGGCCATCCGAGGCGGCTTTCGAGCTGCGCTTGCTCCTGCAGCCAGCACTTCTCACAGCAAATGAGGCTGTAACATAGGCACCGTTTGCTGTCACCATTGGTTGGAGGACTTGAACACAATCCTTGGGAAGCATCTGAGTGCAGGCGGAAGCATTCTTGGCAGCGATCTCGCTGTTCGTAGAACAGGCTTTGATTCTCTTGGCACATGCTTCACACCTGACACACACTCTTTTTGAAGTGCATCCATTTGTGCTCTTTCATGGGGATCCCCTGCGCCAAACGATTGAACGCGTCAATCCTGGACTTGATGTGGTTCCACTCTCGAAGCCCAAACCATGCACACACGAGCCTTAACATGGTCCGGAATGGCATTGATGTGCTGTGGAACAGCACGATCATGCACATACCATAGGGTGTCACCCTCACACAGGACTGCAACGTGGAGTCCACTGTGCCTCTCCACACCCAAATGGGCTATCAGGCCACTTGCAACAAAGTTGCTCATCCCAGCAAGGCCGGTGGGTTGCTTCTGAGCATTGGATGAGCAGCTTCTATGAGTGGTTGGTCCTCTCCCGATTCAAAGGGTCTCGGCTAGATGCCGCTCCAACTTCTTCTGCTCAGTCGTGATGATTCCAGCGGAGCCTCAATCTGGCCATCTCTTCGGATTGAGCAGTTTTGCAAAACTCCTTTAAGCTCCAAAGGGCATCGCTACTAGGAGCAAGGACGCTACTAGGGGCTCCTGGCCGTACTGCTAGGAGCAAAGACGCTACTAGGAGCTTTTTGTATTGGTCCTTGGCCGAGTTGACTTTCTTCCGACTTGACATTTGTCGGAGTTCCCCAACCGTAGCTTTCAACTTCCCCGTTACATTAACAGGTCCAACAGGCCCTGTCCTGGCGGGTGTGACAAGGGCCTCAACCATCTGCTTCACCTCCTGGGGCAAGGCCTACCACTGAGTCTTCAGGACCTCTGGTGAAGTCAACACCAACCTGGGTCAAAGCATTCTTGACCTCATCACAGGAGTTGACCCAATTCTTCTGAACAAGATGGTCCACCAGTGGCAAGCCCTTGCCTGGCTTTTTCCACTCAAGCCTCGCCCTTCCTCAATCTGTGGTCCCCCTACATCTCCTCCTCAGTGAGCCCCACACTGCCTTTCTCCAAAGAATTTCAGGTTCAGGCTCTTCCAAGGTTGACCAAGGATCACAGCATGATCGCTGGGCTGAAATGCAGTCTGCCCAGATCCACGATCCCTTGACACCGGTGCGCGCTTGGTAAGCTCGTCATGAATGCAGTTTGGCAAAATTACCTGCAGACACCATGGTGCTCAACAGAAACGATGGGGCTCCAGGTGCAAGTAGTGAGAAGGCACGGCCACCAAGGTCAAAGACAGGCAGGTAGAGATGTCAGTCTCAAAGTGTCCCTGAAAGACTGGCACAGTCCAGGATCACCTCACCTCCAAGTCTTGGATGTCCGCTTGAGCCAAAACTTGAGCCACTATCACCTTCCTCCCTCCCTGGGGCCGCTGCGAACCAGTGCGGAGTGCACTGACAACTGTAGACTCTAGATGTCTCATGCTGAAGATACAGGTATCAGTTGGCAAACATCGACCCGCATTTCTATCCGAACTGTCCTCTGTCCTTTTGTCGCAATCTTGAAGGTCTCTTGCTTGTCAATCTGTTTACTGTATCAAGTTTAGAATTAGCCAGTGAACAACCTTTGTTGTTTCTAGCTACTTAAAGCACTGTCACCTATCGGCAAACAGGTTGTCCTCCGAGCAGGTTCCTTCTGAAGGCTTCTGCTTCGACTTCGTTCTTACAAGTAGTTCATGCTGCATGAATCTAGTTGAGCGCTCTCTCTTGTCGTTTGTTGGAACTTCGACAGGGAGCAGTGTCGTTGAGGCTCAAAAGAGAAACAACTCAGATTTGGCAGCAGCCAAAGGTTCTGTTATGCTTTGAGCCCTTAAGTCTGGAGCTGGTGATGGATTGGCAATGGAAGTCTCTTCACCAAGATCCTGCGATTTATACTTGCCTGAAGCCCGAAGTGCATCAATGCGCGTAGAAGATGCTCAAAGTGTATGTGGAGAGACCAAGGTTTGGCAATATTGAGGAGATCTGGCACTTCTTGGCAACCTTTTACTCTAGACTCTATATAGAGCTATTTTCCTTGTGGATTGTTTGGCACCACCGGATTTGGTCAAGCAGTCCCACATCGTTTGCATGGAACTTTCAGTTCTAGTTCTAGATGTTTATTTTTTCAGCGTGATGTTTGCTGTCTGACAAGCTTGTCTCTTGCCCTCGCTGCATGATTATATTGTAAATAAGTTTTTTGACCACTTGACTTGATTGCCTTGGTAGCTTGACTTTTGTGAGGGTATAGCTCCTGCTTGTGCCTGTTTTGTCGTGCACAGTATTTTCTATAGATGTTGTTCATGAGATATTTGTGCTCTAAATGGCCTGATGCGTTGCAACCCCTGACGCTTCATTCCAAAGATCAGAAGCAGAGCGTCCAGTCTCAGGATGAGGCGATGTGGGAACAAGACCCAGTTAGCAAAGAACCTTGGCGTCAAGACCAAGCCTTGGAGTCTGAGAGCTTGCAAAGATTAATCAAAGATTAGATATGATTGATAAATCAGACTGAACACATTGCCAGGACTTGGTTAACAGTTGCCCCTTTGAACTGGATGGATTTGTTCGTCGTTTCGGACCATTGAAACCACCTAGGACCTGGTGATTGAGGATCCTCCGCACAGGCCTCGTGAAAGTCATCCTGTGATCACTGTGGTCTCTAAGTGCCAAATGATGTACAATGGATTCTACGGACGACGTCACCTATCTAGGCGATTTCAGGCTGCAAGAGAATAACAATACCTGACAAACTGATACATCACTGCTGTTTCATTGGCACCTCACAACCAGGGACCAGATGAGTGCAATACCTTGTGCCAGGAGAAGAGAGGTCTCAAGAACTTCTGCCACCTGGGGCTTTTGCTCTTAGCGTCAAAAAGCCCCACTGTAATACACCGACAGAGCGGAAATGGGCCATGCTGAGTGGTTTTTTGATGACAGATGGGTGCCTAAAAATCCCGTGGCCCACTTTTGCTTGCTGAAAGTCTCGATTGATGGATCTCTAAGAAGTGTAACTCTTGAGATCTCCTGAGAGACTCTGTTGTTGATTTGGCGAGGGACTTTCAGTGCGGTGAAGTTAATGCTTGTGCGGCACGTGAACGTCGTGAACGTTCTTGTTTCGCGGCCGCAAAGCCTCTCGGCTACAGCCTGAGATGGCTGAAGTCTCCCAGGTCCCAGATGGGCAAATTGAAGATGGATGCTTTCGCTGTCGGCTCTTGTCGGATGGAATGTTCGGCTGTGTCTAAGGTAGCCAAAATGCATTTTTACCACGGATGGATGGTGATGGTTTGTGTAATTTGATAGCCATGCGCTGCTTGGGCCCAAGTGCCATTCTTTAGGGACAAGCCCAAGTGACTAGCCATCAAAGCCCTAGCCTTCCCCACTCTAAACAAAGCAAGCTGATTCCTCAAGTCAAGATTGTTGTTTCCAACCTCAGCTCCTTGGCCACGCCGGACGGTCAGAACGAGGTTCGCTCCGATCTGAGGGAGTCAAAATGGGATACCACTCAGGAGTTCGGCTGGTGTGTCAGATGTCCCAATTGGTGCCTTTTCCCTCTTCTGCAGGCCGGATGTCCACCAAAAAGAAGGTGAAACTTAGCTTGGTGCCCAAGATTTGGCAGGAAAGCTACAGGTTAGACATCTTTCTGCCCGTGGTGCGGACACATGATATGTTTGACCAGGTCAAATTGAAGCAGATCCGGAAGAATTCGCCCTGAAAGTGCTCCTTTGGTGAGTAGCAGACCGGCTGGAGGTCATGTCATTCACGGTGAAACCATGAAATTGCAGCTTTGCTTTGTCTCTGAAATTGACCGGCAGGTATCATATGTGACTGAAATACATCACTTTGACGACTATGGGAATCCAGCACTCCTTCCACGTTTTGCCGGAGTGTTGCACTGGATGTGATTTCAGTTGCGGAACTGCCAGATCAAAGCGGAGTCCCAACCTGGTCACAAAGTGGTCCGCGTTCCGCGCGGGTTGCAAGGACAGCTCCTTCAAGGTCATTTGGTCCATGCTGATGTGTTTTACCATGATGTACTGAGCACTGCAAACTCCCACGTGTAAGGACCTGAGATTCAAGGCCTTGCACAAGAAGTAGTGGAGAAATGTCGGAAGTACATCCCACCATCAAAGGTGGGCTCAGAAGAGACACGCCGCAAGTTTGCCGTCAAGCTGTCACTTGCTATGACACTTTGTAGCTGTGTGGAGACCAAGCCGTCTAAGGAGATTTTTTGACTCTTTCAGAGTTTGAAAGCATTGGCTCTCCGGTCTGGACGTTTACGAAAGGTAGACTCAGCTCCCTGAGCTCTTCTTGCTTGGCAATTGTACTCCTTAACATAGCAGCCTTCTCACTTTCGTCTCCATCCTTTTCCGTTTCCATGCGCACTGATGGTCACGCATCCTTACATAAATCGCTGGGAAATCTTCATTGATTCATGCATCCTCATCGTCCACTCTAACTCACATTCTCATCCTCTTTCTCGTTTTCGCCTCCACTATCCTCTTCTTCCATCCCAATCCTCAGACACCGTCAGATAATCCGTGGGACGTGTAGGACATGTTACTGTGAGTCATGCGGGGAAAGAGAGGAACGGGAGGAAAAGCAGGAGGTAAAGGAACGGCAGAAGGAACTTGCTTTTTAGCTTCAAGATTCCAGCGAAAACAAGGTGATGGCCAATACAAGAAGAAGAGTGCAAAATACTGCAGGCATACAGATTGCTCACGGGCACGACAATCACATTGCAGCGATTGCTTATCCTTGGGATGAAGTAAATATATGGATCATAGAAGCACCCGTTTTCTGGTTCCGTAGTGTTTCGGCTCTTCTATGACGTGCAGGTTTTGGTATCAAGTCGAGTTCCTGCTTACTCGATGAATCAGTTGATCGAGTACCTCAGCCAGGTGGCCAACAGCATCGAGCTTAACTGCGAGCTGTTTGAGGAGCAGCGCAGGCAAGACTGGTGGATGAGCACGGGGCACCTGTCCCTGGAAAAGAGAAAGAAATTGAGAAGCTCAACAGTCTGAAGGAAGAGGAGAGGGCGCCTTTGGCTCGAGGACATTGCCAAGGACAACACCCGGACGCACCAGCGGGTGAAGTCAAACCGTCGTCCAGAGGAAAGCAAAAGAGGAAGTCAAAGAAGAGCGAGAAGCCGAGGTCGAGGTCAAAAGTTGAAAAGCATCGTCCTATTCTTTGGATCCCCGCCCCCGGGTGTAAAGAATAGAAGTACCCGTTAACACCGGCTCTTCCCGCCGCTCCCACCCTTTTAACACCGGGAAAGAGAAGGAGGAAAGGAGATAAAGAAACCTTCCTGCTCCAGAAAGCTGTAAAAGACTTGGAAAGAGAAGCAAAGAATTCCTTGGGGCCTGGCCAGGGTGAGGGGTGTGGCCCCCCCTGGTCAGGGGGGAATTAGGTCATCCAGAATGTCCCCTTCCTTGAGTTGTGGACCGAGGAAGGGGGGGATGGCCAACCCGGTATCTTTTTATGGGAGTGTTTCCAATCATCTTTTAATCTTTTGACAACCTTGCTGCAGAGCGGACTAGGAAAAGGTGCTGTCTCTATTATATATATCCACAAATATATATATAATATATTATCTCTATATATATATATGCGCAGCATGCGTTTTCAAGTTGGGAAGCAGGGAAAATGAGTGAAAACACACCAATGGAGTTGAAAGGACATGTAATGGACGAAAAGGATATGAAAGCAACCGGCAGCAAGTCCAAAGACATGATGGAAGTGGAAACAAATGACCGTACACGAAGCGATCATGAAGGCCAGACCTGAAAGGTACCGGGTTTGTTTGCCCTCAGGTCCCTTCCAATAGAGCAAAAGAAAGAGGCAAAGGAAGCAAGAAAAGGAATAGGAAGACGAAGAGGAAAGAAAAAAGTGGAAAGACCAGGATGAAGTGAAGGGGTAGACGAAGACGACAAGGAAAAGGAATATTCTGAGAGCGGGGGGAGCTAAGCTGCTACAACACATAAGCAACATAAGTGACATATCCACAAACCACACTGGCGCTTTGGCCGGTGGAATTGTATCTTCGCTCCCTGTCGTCGTCATGCATCAGCATCCTCCTGTCATGTTTATCGCTCTCATCCTCATCTTTCCTAAGAAAAAACAAAAACCAGGAATAATTCCGTGACAAACATCTTTATTATCATCAACAACAACACTGCTGCTGAGAACACCTTTTTTCTGTAGTACATTTGGGGGTGCTGCCATCCTCCTTGTCGCATGCATTCGCTGGAATTATTAATCCCCTCCCCGATGCAACAACCAACTTTTCGTCCACCCACCTTCGCTCAAGTTTGACAACCGAGCTCTGTGGCCCTAAGCATTTGCGAGGTGGGCGAAGTGGAGGAGTTGCTCTTCGCCTTGGCCGAACACGAGGCTCGATGATTCCGATCAGTTGGAGTCAAGACTTTTTTCAGCATGAAACATTCAATTCTTATCGAAAGAGCACTTGTTGGGGTAGTTAAGTCTAAGATCTAAGGCACCACTTAGGAACTCCTTGGGAAGGCGATTTTTGGATGAGCAAATAAAGGAGCAAACACGGGGAAGGAATGAAGAAGCTGAGCTTATCTCTCAGCAGGGTTCGCCGACTCCTGCCGTGCTGGCTGCATAGGCAATGCAGCGGCAAGGAGGTCGGGGGCAGGCGAGCTGAGCTTGGATTGGGTGGGCTGACCCCGTGGCCAGATTTGCATTGCAATGGATGTTTCATCACAAGTAGAAATCATAGGCACTGAAGACTGTGAATTGTGTTTGAGGAACAAAAAGGGTGGACCTCCATACGCAGATGTAGATGCATCAGAATCCCAGCTGCCACACGTTTACCCCACATTACTCCACTATTCGATTCCAAGGTTTTCAGAACTATTAAGCCAAGCAAAACATAAAAGATGATCCAAGGCGATACGACAAAGGAAGGACGTCACAAGGAAAATGATGGTTGATCCAACCATTTCAGCAAAGCATGTTTTATCAACAGAGGCTTCGGCGGGCCAGATTCCAACCGACAAGTGCAAAAACACCAATTCCATGGAAGAAACTCTTTCAAGAGCCGTGTTTCTTCTCCAAGAAGCGTAAAACAAGAAACACGGATTGCGGGCAGAGGCCCAGCGGGACTCGGGGGAAGGAACCTCCGCCGCCGCCTCCACCTCCACCTCCACCGCCAAAGCAGCGGCGACAGGTCGGAAGTGGGAGGGTAACAGAGACACTTAGGAACAAGTGCATCGCTACTAGCAACAAGTGCCACGCTACTAGTAACAAGAAGCTACTAGGAACAAGTGCCTTACTAGTAGTAACAAGAAGCTACTTGTCATCATCGATACGTTGTTTGTTTGGGACTTTCCTACCTTCCACACCTTCCACACCTTCCACCAATAAATAGGGTTCGCAGCACTTAATGGAACCGAGAGACGATGTAGATTTTGTGGGTGTTGATTTCACTGATTTCCTTCAGGAAGCGCTACTTCCTCAAGCAGACGTGCGTCAGATTGAGGACTACGCGGATCAACTTTATGAGGACCTTGGTGGGTTTGCATACTGTGTGCTTAAAGATGGCTATTGTTAATTTTGACAACTGATGTGGGTTTTCGTGGGCTTCTTCAGGACCGGATGGAGCTCAAGGTTCATGGTGTGAAGTGCATCTTAAGAGTATGCACCGAGGCCTCCATTAATCAGAAGGGCGGCCGCGAATGTGAGAAATCTTTGGGCATGTCAAGCACAGAACCTTGCCAATGAACATGTTGCCCCAAAGCTCCTTGCCTGTGATGTTCGCAAGTGCAGACATCAGCAGAAACGAAAACACAAGAAACAGAGACGAAATAAGGAAGGCAAGAGAAGCAAGTGGAGTACTCCAGCTAACGCAAAGAATCGCCCCCGAAACCCGCAGAGTAGCCTGATGATCAGAACGTGTTGAGCTCATGTAACACAGCTTACCGTTCTACCGAAGGCTTGCTTCCGCCCGCACATACGGCTTTAGAACAGTGTTTTCCATCACAACAAGAAGCTACTAGGAGCAAAGGGCATTGAGGAGCAAGGACGCTACTAGGGGCTCCTGGCATCGCTACTAGGAGCATTACTCTCCAGATCTCTTGAGGAGATTTTTAATGACCCTATGCCTCAGCCCTCAGTTGATCGAGCAGTTCTCTCCTTGCAAGGTGGCAATTCCTTCATCTCATTTCTATTTCTCCCGTTTCTTATTGTGTGAATAGATACAGTAATAGATTTGTTGATCAATGCGGATCCACTTTTATCAAGCTGCCCTTGCTTGTAGGCACAGGAAAGTGCTCCAGCCAAGAACCTAGCCCCCAAAACCAAGAACACCGGCGTTTTGAGCCTTGCGTTTTTGGTCTTTTGACCTGATGTAACGTTGTTTTATGTGACCTCACAACAGTCATGACTTACCGGGGAGGTTGGGGATTGGGTGGGGGTAATGATGCGTCAACAGATCCTTGTTTGATGCACTTCATCACTTCATTTTCATCTTTGTTTCATGTAATGTTTAATTCGTATTAAGCAGGTCATCCTCGATTATAAATTCAAGCCTGCCAGAAATCCTGATTTTCATTGCGCCCCAGAATCCTATTTTTCCCGAATGCGTAGCGAAGGGTTCTCGTTTAACTCTTGGGGGTCTGGGGGTAGAGCCTTTTTCGCGACCCGTTGCTTCTATGTTCGCAACCGTCCGCAACCGTTCGCAACCGTCCGCAACCGTTCGCAACCGTCAGTCCGCAGTAGAGCGCTAAGGCGCTGCCATTGGGGGAAGCTTTTGCAAGTGACTTTTCATGGATGTGTCACGTGTCAGTTTGCGCCGCTATTCCATTGTGATTTGCATGAAAAAGACATGTCGCGCAAGCAACGTGATGCGTTTCGCTGCGCAGGCGCAGCGTTTGGTGAGATCTGCAGATTGCTGCGCAGTTCCATTGGGATTAGCATTTGGAGAGTCGTGTTTTTGGGGTGTTGGATGTGGCCGTGCCATTGGGATTTGCATTTCAGGGTGTGGCATCGAAGCTCTGTTTTCGTGACAAGTCTCAGCTGAAATGCCGATTTTGGTGGAGGGGAGTGTGCTCAGAACGGGTCGAAATCATTCCAAACGTGTGGTGTGGTGCAAATTTTGTGGAAGCTCACATGAGATGACATTGTTACTTTTCGTGGCAGGCGCAGGACTTTGTGCGGGCTTTGAGGTGTGGAAGTGGGATTTTCGTGGCAGGCGCAGGGAATCGTGAGGTTGCGATGTGTGACGGAGGTGACATTTCGTGGCAGGCGCAGTACTTTGTGCGCGTTAGACGTGTGGACGCGGAAAGATTCGTGGCAGGCGCAGGGAATCGGGAGGTTGTGAGTTGTGGTAGAGGTGAATGTCGCTGTCACATTGTGATTGGCGTGTGAGCGGGTGTCGTTTGGAGGGGCTGGAATCGCGAAACTGCTTGGCAGGGCTGCGTGATGTGTGTGCTCCGATGAGTGTTTCCGCTGGACTTTTGGAGGAAGTCTCGTGCGAAACGTTCGTTTTGCAGACTTTGACATGTGAGTTTTTGAGGAAGTCTTGTACGAAACGCTCGTTTTGGGGACTTGACATGTGACTTTTGGAGGAAGTCTTGTACGAAACGCTCGTTTTGGAGACTTGACGTGTGACTTTTGGAGGAAGTCTCGCACGAAACGCTCGTTTTTGAGACTTGACGCGTGACTTTTGGAGGAAGTCTCGTACGAAACGCTCGTCTTGCAGCCTCGCAGCGTGACTTTTGGAGGAAGTCTCGTACGAAGAGTGTGCCCTACAGGAGTGTCCCACAAGAGTGTCCTACAAGAGTGTCCCACAAGAGTGTCCTACAAGAGTATCCCACAAGAGTGTCCCACAAGAGTGTCCCGTATGAGTGTCCCACAAGAGTGTCCCACGAGAGTGTCCCGCATGTCCCACAAGAGTGTCCTACAAGAGTGTCCCACAAGAGTGTCCCGTATGAGTGTCCCACAAGAGTGTCCCACAAGAGTGTCCCACAAGTGTGTCCCACAAGAGTGTCCGACAAGAGTGTCACATAAGAGTGACCCACAAGAGTGTCCTACAAGAGTGTGCAACAAGAGTGTCCCGTAAGAGTGTCCCACAAGAGTGTCCTACAAGAGTGTCCCGTAAGAGTGTCTCACAAGAGTGTCCCACAAGAGTGTCCCGCAACCATGTCGCACAAGAGTGTCTCACAAGAGTTAAGAGTGTCCCACAAGAGTGTCGTATAAGAGTGTCCCACAAGAGTGTCCCACAAGAGTGCCCTACAAGAGTGTCCCACAAGAGTGTCCCACAAGAGTATCCCACAAGGGTTTCCTACAAGAGTGTCCTATAAGAGTGTCCCACAAGAGTGTCCTACAATTGTGGGACACTCCCGCAAGAGTGTCCCAAATGAGTGTCCCACAGGAGTGTCCCACAAGAGTGTCCCGCAAGAGTGTCCCGCAAGAGTGTCCCACAAGAGTGTCCCACAAGAGTGTCCCACAAGAGTGTCCCGCAAGAGTGTTCCAAATTAGTGTCCCACAGGAGTGTCCCACAAGAGTATCCCACAAGGGTGTCCTACAGGAGTGTCCCACAAGAGTGTCCCACAAGAGTGTCCTACAGGAGTATCACACAAGAGTGTCCCACAAGAGTGTCCCACAAGAGTTTCCTACTAGAGTGTCCCACAATAGTGTCCCACAAGAGTCCCACAAGAGTGTCCAGTAAGAGTGTCCCACAAGAGTTTCCTACACGAGTGACCCACAAGAGTGTCCCACAAGAGTGTCCTACAAGAGTGTCATTTGGACATATGTAGCTTTTTGAACGTGTTTGCATTCGGGTTTGTGGGCTCCATTGTTTATTTTTTAGATATAATAACTATAAAATTCAGGTCCCAGATTCCACCCAAAAGCGCAAGACAACAATACTGCAGATTCCTTTACAATCATACTCACAGAATCTCTCAGGACTATTATTGGCCCCCAAAACCTTCGAACAAAGAAGGCAATTGGAGAGACTACCCCCCTTTGCCTTACGAATCTCAAATTACTCCATCTTGGGGCATGATGGTGATACAACTTCGGCCTTGCCAAAATCCATCCAAAAATACACCTCCAACCCAGTGGCCCTGCAGCCGAGCAAGAATCAACGCAGCAACCACCCCAAAACACAAAAACTACTCCAAAACGCTCTCCCCAGTGGCCCTGCAAGCACGACATAACGAAAAATCATCCAAAAATGTACCTTCAAAACGCTCTGCCCGGCGGCCCTGCAGCTGAACCATAGCCACGCACGCGCGAAAAAAAGGTCTTACGGCTGCGTTGGAGCCATCTTGGGGCCAACTTCGTCTACCTTGGGGCATGATGGTGATACAACTTCGGCCTTGCCAAAATCCATCCAAAAATACACCTCCAAGGCGCTGTCCCCAGTGGCCCTGCAGCCGAGCAAGAATCAACGCAGCAACCACCCCAAAACACAAAAACTCCTCCAAAACGCTCTCCCCAGTGGCCCTGCAAGCACGACGTAACGAAAGATCATCCAAAAATGTACCTCCAAAACGCTCTCCCCGGCGGCCCTGCAGCTGAACCATAGCCACGCACGCACGAAAAAAAGGTCTTACGGCTGCGTTGGAGCCATCTTGGGGCCAACTTCGTCTACCTTGGGGCATGATGGTGATACAACTTCGGCCTTGCCAAAATCCATCCAAAAATACACCTCCAAGGCGCTGTCCCCAGTGGCCCTGCAGCCGAGCAAGAATCAACGCAGCAACCACCCCAAAACACAAAAACTCCTCCAAAACGCTCTCCCCAGTGGCCCTGCAAGCACGACGTAACGAAAGATCATCCAAAAATGTACCTCCAAAACGCTCTCCCCGGCGGCCCTGCAGCTGAACCATAGCCACGCACGCACGAAAAAAAGGTCTTACGGCTGCGTTGGAGCCATCTTGGGGCCAACTTCGTCTACCTTGGGGCATGATGGTGATACAACTTCGGCCTTGCCAAAATCCATCCAAAAATACACCTCCAAGGCGCTGTCCCCAGTGGCCCTGCAGCCGAGCAAGAATCAACGCAGCAACCACCCCAAAACACAAAAACTCCTCCAAAACGCTCTCCCCAGTGGCCCTGCAAGCACGACGTAACGAAAGATCATCCAAAAATGTACCTCCAAAACGCTCTCCCCGGCGGCCCTGCAGCTGAACCATAGCCACGCACGCACGAAAAAAAGGTCTTACGGCTGCGTTGGAGCCATCTTGGGGCCAACTTCGTCTACCTTGGGGCCCATAATGGTGATACAACTTCGGCATTGCCAAAAGCCATCCAAAAACACACCTCCAAGACGCTTTCCCCAGTGGCCCTGCAGCCGAGCAAGAATCAACGCAGCAACCACCGCAAACACAAAAACTCCTCCAAAACGCTCTCCCCAGTGGCCCTGCAAGCACGACATAACGAAAAATCATCCAAAAATGTACCTCCAAAAAGCCGCGCACGCGCGAAAAAAGAGGCCCCCCCCCTAGCAGAGCTATATGCATAGGATGTTTTTGCTAAAAACTCGACGGCAAGAGCCCCAATAGCACGCCCTGCGCCGACAAGCGGTGTGGGCGGATTTATGCATGCTTCCTGACAGTGCGCCCCAAGCACCTTCCATTCTGTGGGACTTGTTTTGGACATCCACAACAGTTGGTCCTTCTTGTCCCAAACACGTTATCCAACCTTGCTTCTCAGTCAGTTTCATTCGTTCCTTGCTTTCTCACCTGCCGCGCAGCCCACCAGCCTGGAGCTCTTGGCAGACCATGAGAACTTGCTTCAGGCCCAGGAAAGTCGAAGTGATGGCCTATGTAGCAAGAAGCTACTAGGTTGGAGGCCATCACTACTAGGGTGGAGGCCAATACTAGTAGTAGCAAGAAACTACTAGGATCAGTGCCAGCACAATCGAGGGGGTCGCTGGAAAGTCACGTATTGCAGGTGTCGAGACCCTGATGGTTTGTTATCAAGGCTGCTAGGTGGGTGGAGGTCAATCAAAAGCAACCTATTGGCAATGTGAATCCTACAGCCCCGACTTGCGATTGATCCGTGGCTCATGTTGCAATCCCGAAGTCTTCTTTGGTTTTTGGTTGCCCCCAAACGGGAGGAAGCAGATCTCAGATCATTAAGCCCGAGTCCTTCTGCGTCCAAGCCTGGTTCGTAGCTTCCTTGCTTCCTTGCTACTGCTTACCCCTCACTAGTAGCTAGTGAAGCCTACTCCAACCTCCACCCTTGGCCCCTCAGCCTAAAGAAAAAGACAAAGAAAAGGGAAAAAAACCATGCCAGGTCTTGAGCCGAGAACTTCGGGAGAACTCAAAGAAGAGCTTCGACTTGTCCGTGGCGGCGGCCTCCCGGGCAAAGCTTTTCTGCTCGCTTTTGCCGCTGGTTCGGGGGACTCTTGTATCATGATCTTTGCATCTGCTGCATGTTCTCGGCTCATGTGTTGGAGCGTTTTGTCATCATTTTTCTACGTTGGGTTGGAGTTGACCGACGACTCTTCACACCTTGCAAGAATCTATCCCCCAAGCTTGCAGTGAAAGGACTTCGCACTTCCGACTTCCGGTGATACTTACAAATCTACACACTTTCAAACCTTTCAGCCTTTTCGACCCTTTTCTTTGTCAATTCACATGGAAGCTCGATAAGTAAGACCCTGGAATCCCTGCAGTTGCAGTCTTCAGAGAAAGCGAGCAGGTTTTCTCTCTTTTTTAAATCTACACTTGAACTTCAAGACTTGCTGACGGGAACGTACGGTGCGTCGTGCCCCATCTGCAGCGTGCGAACGCCCCGCCCCATTGGCCTCAATGGTGCGAACGCGCCGGCCGAGAACCAGAAGGCACCTGGAGGAGAGTCAGAACATAGGTCAACCAGGTTTGGGTGCTCAGTAGCTTGTAGAGCCCAACGGACCGCTTTTGCTTAGCATGGGGTTGTTTGGGGTTCAAATTGTGCACTGGCCATAGGTGTGCAGGTGAGGATGGACCTGAGGTATGAATGCCAATCTGGGTCCAGGTTCAAAGTTGCACACTGCTGGGGTGATTTGCAGGGTTTCACGTCCTGGGCTGCTGGGACCCAGTGCTACAGTAGATGGAAAGCATCACTCCCTTGCCAGACATGTCTTGTTGGGCTTAAACGGGTATATAGACTGAAACCATCTGAAACCTGTGTGCTGTCAGAGTCTGCACAGTCGCGCAGTCCAATGTGTGATCTTAGGTCAAACGTAGAAAGACAAGCTGTTTCAAGGAGCACCTCATGCACACTTGGGACTGCACGTACTGCCTGCTTAACCCAAAGAAGGATGGAACGGAGCGTCAGAGTGGGTCCCAAATAATGAAACCTTGCCGAAGGGGGTCCATTTTCTGCAGGTAACTTGATGCCATCATGTGTGCTGGTGATCCTGGTCCTCAGCCGGCCCCTCAAGCACTGCAATTTTTGGCAACCCTTTCCTAAAATCCTTTATAGTCTTTAATACGTTAATACAATGTAGCTTTTCAGTCCGCGCGTGAAATTATGTCTCCTAAAGTGAACTTGGAGATTAAACAGTTTGTAAATTCAAAGTGTACAATACAGTGTGCAAGCTTTGGCGGGACTCGCTATAACCCCTAATTTTGGCTTGGCAAGTTTTGATGCGCCTGGTTTGCCTATGTTGAGGACAAATTCGATTGGCATTCATCATTGGTTGAGCTTTGAGCATCTTTGCCGGGGATTGTGATAGCAAGACCTGTAGTTGCTCGTTGTTCAGAGGGTGCTGTTCGAAAGGTTGCAGAATTCCAGGCAGTATGAAACTCTGTGGTTGCAGACACGAGAATCAAAGGGTTTCTTCTTCCTTTGGTCTTGTCCACGTAAGAAAGACAAAAAGCAATCTCTAGGTTGGTGATGGGTTGTCCTTCTTGCCTCCATTTCGTTTTCATGCAGTTTCAAGCAGTGCTCTTTCGGCAGAATGGCTTCATGATGAGATTGCATGTCATTATTTTGAGCAGTCAGGTCTGCAGCAAATCGGCGCAGACTATGACCCAGTGAAGAAGGTTGAGCATGCCCGACTTTATGGGTGGGCCTCTGAAAGCCAGCTGCAGATCATGATGAGATTCACAGATTGACAGGTGACATGAAGCAAGGCAGACTACAGGCAGACTATAGGCAAACAGCTGTTTTTCTTCATGAAGTGACCTTTGAAGCCAGGCTTGACACATCCTTTCACTGTTTTCTTTCACCAATTTTTTCACCAATCCGTTCATGCTTTTAGACAAGCAGTCATCTTCGCTGTTCTTACACGATTGTCCAACGTCCTGTGACATACGGGCTGAGGAATGTGGACCACTATGCATACTACTTTGCTCCTCTCCAAGACTTGCCAAGACACGGCAAATAGACTTGCATCGATGACACTGAATTTGGAGTAGACTGAGTAAACTTCGGAAATTGATGAAAGGGACATTTGTCTCATGCTTTGCAATTCTCATCCTATGATTTACACCTCTGTTGTGGTCGAGGTCGACTTGGTGGTGGGCACTCCTCCGCAGAGGGTCTCTGTCATCCTAGACACTGGCAGTGGGGTGGGGGTGCTTATTGTTGGATGTTGGTCAGACCTCAGAATCTCCAAAAAAGTTCCACAGTCCAGACACCAACTCTTTTTTCAATTGTTTCTTCAGCTGGGCAGGACTTGATTTCTTCTTCTACTTCCTCCTCCTCCTCCTCCTCCTTCTTCTTCTCTTGCTTTCTCTATTGCGCGATCGGAGCAACTGGAAGTCTCTGGAAGTCTGCTAGGTGGCTGCATATCCTTGCGCCAACTGTGGGCATTGCCAGAACCTTGACACTGCAGTTTTGAGTTTTGTCAGGCTTGCCAATTTGCCAGCAATCTCTTGCAGAAACAGAACCGGGGTTTCAGATGCAGGATCATTTGCTGAGGGCTCACGCCACCTATGTAAAGCCTTGTGAACATGTATAGAGTGGTTTGCCAATGTGAGGTGGGCCGCATATCGACCCAGCGTGAACTCCTTAGAACGATGGACTGACCTTGATTATCTCTGAGTTTTGCAGGAGTATTTTTTTGCACTCATTTTTTTTATTCACGTCGCTTCGCGACGGTAACCGCCCGCACCGCATGGAAGGGGACAATATATCCACCGAGCCCTGGAAGGAAGCCCGGCAGTAAGGAACACGAGCTGGAAGGGGGTCTTGTGCTCTTGGAGCCAACGGAATCAGTATGAAAGGAGGTGCCCGACATAGCGTCCATATTGTCGGCCCCAGAACGGCCCCCCCCCCCCAACGTGGCTGAACATAGCTTCCATATTGCCTGGAACGTCGCAAATATAAGGTTCAACTGGAGCAGAGAGAAGCAGAGACAAAGTGTAGGAACGATAACAGCTTCAGAAGATTTTATCTTAGGAATTTGAATGAGGACTCAAAAGGGGTTGTGCGTGTCGGGTAAGCTTCCGGAAGGGAGACGATCTGGAACGGGTGCTTGTGCTCTTGGAGCCAAGGGGTACAGTATGAAAGGAATATTGTTCGGACACACGCAATGGAAACCGACGTTCAAGTCCCTATCTCGCAGACACGTCCATTAGATGGTGACTTCTAGCGCTCTGTAGGCAATATCTTCACTCTATTCCAATCCCTTTGGAGCCTTCGTTAGACCATGTTTACGACGTTCAAGTACCTATCTCGAGGAAGCATACTTAAGATAGGGACTTCTGGGGTTATGTTCGACCTTATGGGAGCTATGCTCGTGAGATAATGTTACCGTTCCTGGACCTGACCTGCTTCTCTCTGCTCCTGACCAGCCACGTTCCCGGACGTTCAAGTCCCTATCTCGCAGACATGTCCATTAGATAGTGACTTCTAGGGCTATGTTACGTACCAGTTTACGACGTTCAAGTCCCTATCTCGCAGACACGTGCTTTAGATAGTGCCTTCGAGCGCTCGGTTAGGCAATATCTTCACGCTATTCCAGTCCCTTTGGAGCCTTCGTTAGACCATGTTTACGACGTTCAAGTACCTATCTCGAGGAAGCATACTTAAGATAGGGACTTCTGGAGTTATGTTCGACCATATGGGAGCTATGCTCGGGAGATAATGTTACCGTTCCTGGACCTGACCTGCGTATCTCTGCTCCTGACCAGCCACGTACCCGGACGTTCAAGTCCCTATCTCGCAGACATGTCCGTTAGATAGTGACTTCTAGGGCTATGTTACGTACCGCTCAGATGATTCAGCTGATGCAGATGATGCAAAGCAGAAAATTGCATTTCTTGCATCCCTAAAGGCTTCAAGATAACAAACATCAGCACGAAAGCACTTTCAGCCGGTTCCAAAAACGTGAAGAAACACAGGATTCTAGAGCGAAAATGGCCCCCCCCCTAGCTAAAGCTATCAGTACTACTTAAATTTAGTTGTTCTCTTCTGGTCTTCAGACCTATTTGGAAGTTTTGATTTAGACCTTTCCTTTTCCTTTCTTTCTAAGATATTGCGAGGCTTTTGCTTCTACTCCGTTTTGTATCTTTGCTTGCCACATGTTTTGTCGCCAGAATCTGGCTCAGGTTCGACATTGGGAAGAGCAGCTCTGCTCACTGGATTCAGTGTGTGGCAAATCGCTGCCCAATTGGCCGATGCTCGTGGCAGTCTCAATTGATTTCTCCAAACCATGTCTGAGAGTTGCATTAGATTCATGGCGTAGCTCCCAATGCAATACGACACGAGTCTCGTTCAACTAGGTCAGGGAAATGTTCCTACTATCAAGGTGCACCAAGCTTTTCATACTTCCTCAGTTGGATGATCACAATGCTTTTGTGCTGTCAACCAATCTCTGGCACATCAGCTTGGAGGCTACACCGAAGGGTCTTCAATTTCCGGATTTTGGTTTGAGGAGCCCCTGGTTTTTGCTTGTTGCTTTCGATGATTTGGTCAAGAAGTGTATCCAGGACATGGTGAGTCTGGGCGACATGATCCAACACAATCCCCAAGTCAAAGCCAGGCAGGATGGGGTCAAGAGTTTTGAACAGCCAGTAATATGTCCACAGATGAACAGATTTTCGTCATTTCAAGAGAGACTCAAATTCCAGCGGGAGATGCTTGCACTGTGCAGCTTTTAGGATGGGTTGTCATTCGAACGAGAACAACTTGTTCTACACCCAGAAGGCAAGGCATTCGTGGGGAAGGGAACACGCATTCGATGACAAACTTGAGGCTAAACTTTCAGCTTGGGTTGAATTTGAGGTCTTTTTCCTTGACCAATCTTGACCCTGGACCTAAAGCCTGTAGCCTTCCCGCTAGTTCACAGTTCGCGTTTCTCTCGTAGAACAGCTAGCGCCATCGTCATGCTTTGTGCCGGCCTGTTTTTTGGTCACACCGGTCATTCCTTTTCCATTTCCCTCAAGTTTATTGAAAGTTTGCTTCCCAGAGCTCCCAGAGCTCAAGGCCTTTAGAGTGGCCTTGTCGGGGTTTGAAGGTCCAGAACCAGATGCTCGCAGCAAGTCTAAACAACAAAACATGGAGAGCGAGAACCTGACAACAAGCCTGACATTACCAGCTCCAAAGGAGCAACAGTTGAAGCGGATATCCTGCACTGCACTTACCCTCCTTGCAACAAACATGGAAGTGGAACATGGCATGGTGGAAGACTTGAGGACATGTCCTGTTCATGCTGCATACTTGCTGCTTCATTTCACGCTCAACACATTTTTGCTTGCTCGTAGCCATTGTTTTTGCCGTCATCAATGTCACGCAAAATTGTTCTGATTGCCTCTTCCGAACTCCCACTAAGCCCGTAAACCGGGTTCCGTTTCGCAGATCGAACTGGCCGAATTGTTCCGCAAGGCCAATGGGATCATGGGGATTGGCCCCTCGGGGATGGAAGGGGAAAAGATCCTGGACCAGATCTTCAAGGACGTGCAAGATGACTAAGACAGAGATGACCTTCACAGATTTCATTCATGCGTCCCTTCTCCCTTTATGGTTAGCAGAAGTCAGGAATGAGAAAATGTCTGAGACGACTGATTGTAAGAATCTATGATCTGAGATGATCTACTATTCTTCAAAGGTTTTGGCACCTTACCCTTCGGCTTGCAGCCAGGACAGAGCTCATGTCTCACACAAGGTTTTTTCGATTTGCTTGGCTGAGCAGTGATCTGAGAATCTGAACCGCTGACTGCGAGCTGAAACTCTGAGGATGCTATTTTCACTGGCTAAACTCAGGTGGGGTGGTCAATTCAATGTGGGTGGCTATGACGAATCGTGCCCAGTGATCACTTCAAGCCTTTCATGCCATCGGGACCTTCTCAGGTGTCAGTGATTCTTGTGCGTGTGCACGCAAGTACCACCAGTGCCGAGCGGACCCTGTCGAATCTATCGGGGGTAGGTACCACTTGGGCCCCTTGCAGCAGATTCCGCTGAATTTGGGTGGCTTCTATGGAGTTGGGCTTAGCCAGATGCAGGCTGGAGGGGCTGGGAACGGCCGGGACAGGGGAGGACGCAGGGCAGGTCAAAGATTTTACAGGGTTGGCACTACTATTGATACTGTTTTCTAAAACTTATTACATAGTAACTTTAGGATTTTTTGTCGTTTCACTTGTATGTAGCCGCTTAAGGCAGTGCGATGGTTTCTGGATGGGCGGACAAAAGTGGGACTGGTGATGATTCACCACCATTCCAAAGCAACACACCTCATCACTCTTTGGATGACGAGGCCTGACATGATTGGTGAATATGATAAACCCGACACCTTGGTCATCATCCAACCCCATCGGGCAAGAAGATGTCCAAGCATCTTCCTCAGGTCAATGGCGTGAGCATCACAAACTTCGGTAGCAGCATGATTGACAGCGGCACCACGTGCCCTGATCTCTATGCAGGTCTGCTTAATTATATATGCCAGGTGTTAGACCAGCAAGAAATCCTGGCAATCCAGATCCACATGTCTCTACTAGTACAGCTGGATGCAGCAGGGCACATGACATCACATGACTGTTTCAGTCTCGTCTCACTGAGCAAAGCTTTTTGACACCACCATCCTATTTTGGTAATTGAAGCGCTTCCAAGGCTTTGCTTTGCCATGCTGACTATCACCCTGAGACGAGCAGGTACACCTACATGAAGTCCGCAAACTACAAGAAGTTGGTGGAGGGCATTACAAAAGCTTGTGGAGGCACAACTCGGTATATAATGCAATGTAATGCATATGTTTTTTTTCATGCTTTATCATGTTTTCCATGTCTTCCAAGTTGAACCATGGTGCTTTCTTGTGGACTGCACTCATCGGAGATCTGAGGTGGAAAGTGCGGGGGAAGCCCACAGGGACGGACTTGTTGGAAGTTGTCGGGCGGCCCTCACAAGTGAAATCCTCAGTTTGGCGCAGACAATTTCACACCAAAACGTGCCTCCTCAGGATACCTCATTCGGGTCTGATAGTACTGTAAACATTTTCTTCACCATGGACACTTTCAATATATATATATATATATTATTGGGGGACCACTAACACTAGCAGCAGTCCAAAAGGCTGAACATTGCTTCTTGGCGCGGAACCTGTCTTGAACGCCAGGTTTCCTCCGATCTCTGTGTTTTTCGGCTCTGTCGAAACAAAGTGGGTGCCAGAGGCCTATTTCTACAGGCGCCGTGTAAAAAGCAGAGGGTGATGAGATGTTGTTGCCGCCCTATTGGGGTGACAACTCCAGGGTCGAGACAACGCAAACGAAATTGCTTGGAAGTTGAGATGTCTCAACTTCCAACATGAAATCGAGTGCATGGGTCGAGCCCAGGGTCCCTCCCCAACACTGAACAGGTCCACATCCCATCATCATTTATTCTGTCTATAGAGTTGGAATGTACATGGGGTGTTTTGCCGAGGGGTTGTCCCACATCCATACTGGACCTAAGATTGAGGCATTGACGCATCCTCAAGAGAGAACTCATCCTCGCTCCTTAGCTTTGTTGGGTGGGGTTCCAACTGATGGCAGGAAGGGAAGCACAGATACCTACTGCTATGGTTTTGCAGACGATGGCCCACACGCGAACACTGTCTTGGGCGCCGTTTGGATGATGCACCAGGAGAGCTTTCATTTAGCTCTTTAATTTTCCTTGGTGTTTGTGTGATGCCATTCTTTTCTGCTCTCAATCTGAAACAGGAAATCGTTTTTGACCTGGAGAACAGAAAGGTTGGTATTGCTCCAGCGAAGTGTTTGAGTCCTAGAAACGCTGCCCATGGATCGTGCTTCGATCTTGGTACAGATGCTCAAGGCAAAATCCATGCCCTGACGTTTAGTGATCGACGCAGCGTCAGGCCCGGAGTACAAAGATCGACCAGCCCACGTTCAGGCAGTCTTGGGCCAGAGTGATTTGGAAGGACATCTTGGAGACAAAGATTAGACTCTCAAGGTCTCAAGGGCTTTCAAGCATTCTCACAAGCTTGTGTTACCATGTTTGCTTCGAGCATGTTTGCTGGTTTTTGCCCAGCCCCAGTTTCTTCCTCTCTATATAGCTAATCCTGGTCCTGGCAGGCCGCATCCAATCCTGTGGTGCCTGTCGTCACTCCGAGCACCACTGCAGCCCGCGCCAGCACAGCGGTGGGCAGCAGTACAACCACCACAACGACTGCCACCACCACAACCACAACAACAACCACAACGACAACAAGAACGACAACGACACGTGCCACAACAACAGACACCTCCACTACTATCTTACAGGCTGTGGTGGCTCACACAGAAGCCCCGACCACAAGTGTAGCTTGATGCTTAAGTTTGTAGTGCTATTTGTGGACAAATGCTTTGGTAGTCTAGGACACTGTGCATCAAGCTAGCTGGCTTTGCATCACCCAAGGCCAGCTCGGCTTCTACAGTCTAAACCTTAGCAGATGTTTGAGTTTCCAAGTCTCCACATGAATCATCACGAAGCAGGGTGGATTGTGGATTTTAACCAATTCAGCCACCTACATCACTTAGGAGAGCCAAAGGCGAGGAATCCTTCGTGGTGCATCACTTGCCGCAGATTCTTTTCTTGGCTTGGCAGGCCGTATCACAGCCAGACCGGTGTGCCTCGAAGCCAAGTGTCCGGATCCCAAGAATGCAGTCATTTCCACCCCTGTGCCCTTGCAAAGCTGAGGCAGAAGACAGAGGCCAGGTGTTGCTAGGTGTTGCTTTCCTGAATTACTTTTTTGCATAGTTTTGGTGATCCAAGCAGGAATCTTCCCTCTCAGACTATCAATTTGAACCTACCTTGTGTATGGTTTGCAGCTGCCCGCTGTTTGGAGGAGCCTGAAAAGAATTCCACATTCTTGGGGCACAAGGACGGAGTGGCCAGGGGAGCCCAGGCACTTGCGGTCCTTTGGTCGAAGAACGGCTGTGCACTAGCGGTTAGTATTTGTGATGCGAGCGGTCGCAGTCAGAAAAGAACACTAGGAGGACATGAAACAGGAGCCTCATTCCTTATTTTGATTGCTGGGATACTAAGGATCTTGGACTTGGTTTGCTGAAAGAGCATCCTTTTCAGTTTGTTGGGGCGGTGGCTGGTGGCGTTCTCTTGGTGACTTGGCCAAGATTACTTGGAAGTGCACTGCTTCATGCAAGGGCCGAACAGAAGACCTGAAAACTTGCTTGTTTGAGCTCTCTAAGGCTTGCTTGTGCCTGTTCCTCTTCAAAAAACTCTGTTTGAGAAGAGACAAGCACAGGCTGTGCTGGCTGCGGCTGCCTGCACGGCATGCACATTGCACAACCGCGCGAAATAGTAGTTCTGAAACTTACACCTGTCAGGCATGTGCAGCTCAAGGAAGAGGACGAGTCAGGTATGCCGGGGGCCTCACGCATGACGGGCAATTTGCAGCGAGATATCGATATATGTATCCATGCATGCATGCATCATGCATCTGGCATGCACACTGGCAACCAACAGAGGATAACAACAAACCCATGCCCAGGCCATCCTTGAAAGATGAAGCAATGGCACAAGCAGCACAGTTGCCACCCATCACCATAGGACAGCTGGCCAGAACCCTTAAAAATTGCGGGATCGAGCATGTGACCCTGACGCAATCTCAACACAACTGCTCCGTAATGCTCCACCACATGCATTACCAGCACTTCACAAACTGATTCAAGGATGGAAGCCACCGCCACCCTCCCCACCCAACTTCAGATGAGTTTGGTGGTGATGCTTGCAAAGAACGAGATAGTCGAGAGACCCATCACACTCACCAGTGTCCTGTACCGCACCTGGTGCAGACTCCGCAAAGGACTGCTCGACCAGTGGCAGCTGGAGCTTCCACACCACATGGACTACGACCGAGCCAGACCCGGAGCAACTGCACTTCATGTCGCCTTGGAACGGTTGCTCAGACAGGAGAGCAACAAAACCCTCGCCAAACACGGCATTACAGTCTTGCTGGACATGAGCACCTTCTATGACACCATTGACCTGACCAGACTTCAGCAAGTGGCCCAGACCCTCCAGTACCCAACCATTGCATTGGAGTTTGCCATGCAAGTGTACACGGGGCCAAAAGCAGTCCTGGCGGATGCTGAACTCAGCCAATGGTTTCATGTCGCCAGGGGCATGGCAGCTGGATGCCCACAAGCACCCCTGCTCGCCAAGACTTTCCTCCAGCCCATCCTCAGCCCCTTCCAGCAAAAGCATCCAGGGCTGCATCTCAACGGATGGGTCGACGACATCGGCTTTGATGGAAGCCACAATGACCCACAGGTCTTGTGACGGCGTGGCAAGATCTCAGTCACCAACTCCAAGCAGCTGGTCTCAAGGTCAACAACCAGAAGACGGCCTTCATATTGTCACATGACAGGGCACGCGCCGAGCCCTTGAGAAACTCCTGGGGCCAAATGACCCACCCATCCAAACAGTGATGAGGGATCTTGGCATCGACCATCAAGCAGGGCCACCCTCCAGAGCAGATTCAAGAAAAACAAACAACGACGGCTAAAGCTGCGGACACTTCGCCTCCCCACGCTCAAGACGAGGCTACGCCTGCACAGAGGCGGCGTCCAACCGGTTGCTTTTTGGGGGGGGTGGAAGGCCAAGGTCTGGCTCCCAGATACCGCCAAGCACTGCGGCAAGCCCTAGCCGCCCAACCACCTGGGACAACATGCTGGCGGCCTCACCGATGTGGTGTACGACCAGTACCAACACAAGTACATGGGCCCAGCTGACCAGGTGGTACTCCAACAGATCCAGGCACTCCACACACTCATCACCCACTGGCCACCGGGCCACCTTGGGCATGTGGAAAAGGCATGGATGGTGCTGCAAGCACAACTCCGTACCCGTGGTACCATGTCAAAGGTCCTATGGCGGCCGCAATTGCCTACTTGCTGGAGTGGGGCTGGCAGGCAAGCAGTCTCTATGCTTGGAGTCGCAATGAAACGGCTTTCATGACTGAGGCACACCTTGACCTCCACCAACCATGGTGGGTCCTGGAAGAGGCCATCAGGCAGCCCAACAACGCCGCAGCAGAATTGCCAACCGCAAGAACTGCCAGTCCTTGGTCAGCGGCATTGACTGGACCATAGCCCGCAAAGTCAACAAAAAGCTCAGCCCAGCACAGGCCAACCACATCCGCGCGCGCTGCCATCCGCTGTCCCGCCCACCCCAAAGCACCACGGGCAAAAAGCACCCGCCCATGCCCATCCCATGGACAGAGCGGCTTCAAGACCCTCTGGAAGAGCCGCTTTGGGCCTATGGTTGGATCCTGCACAACCCACAAGACCACCTCACCGATCCCATCGGGCTGGAGGGTCATGGGCGCTGGCAAACTGTAGAGCCCTCGCCACTGCGCCCATGGCAGTCGCAATAGCGCAGACCCAAGGGCGCAGGCATGCGCTTTTGACATTGGCTCAGTGTGTCCAGACTCCAACCCGGGGCGTCATCCAGGTCAGTGCGGGGTGGGAAGCTTGCCTGGCAATGAGCCACACCAACGTGATGCTGCCCTGGCAGCCTGGGAAAGGGCCATGCAAATACACAATCCTGATGCAGAAGCGTGGCAGCGCACCCTGGACCAGGATCACTACGAGATCTACCAACATGCTGCCCACAGATTGGAGACAATCTACGCTGACAAGGAACACTATGTGCGCAGCAAACCGGGCCGAGCAACAGGCCACAAAACAAAACAGCGCAAGAAGAACCTGAGTGAGCAACGCAAGCAGCCCTGGTACCAGTGCCACACTTGCCACACAAGAGTACACCAGGGCCTGACTGCCGCCGCCATCGAGGCCCGACTCCAAGAAGATTGCGAACAGCTCACCAATCCGGCTCTTGAGCCAGACCTACGACCGGACAAAGAAGCCAGCCGCATTGAAGACACAGCAGGACCATCCCACAACGGCAGATGCCCATGTTTTTCAGGAGACCACCGGGTACCTCAAGTGCACCAAATGCAACCAGGCAGTGCGCAAACGGGCCAACGAGGAGGTGTTCAACAACTTCCTCAACAGCATTTGCATTGATGCGGCCTTCACCAAAGAGCATCCGGCCCACCCTACACACACACACACACACTGTGGCAAAGAGGAAAGGCCATCCGCTGCAAAGGATGCGGCCTACAGAGTCACCTGGATGACACCGAAAGGCTGGTCATCACCAAAGGCCTGAAGAAAGAGTGCAGGGGACACAATCCAAATTCCCCCACTCTGCCACATTTCTTCAGTCAAACCAGCCAGACACCCAGCCCTCCACAACGAGGCGATGATGAAGGGCAGACCAACACCACTGGCCATGACACCCAGCCGGTTGGGCAGCCACCGTCGAACCCCAGCCACATGAGGTGACACCGCCGCGAGCGAGCCGCGCTACCAGTCTGTCTCCACCTGCCCCGAAGAAGCTCCGTTTCTCGGGCCGCGCTCTCTGAGGCACCGTCGGCCCCGACCCGCGGCCGTGACAGCGCAGAAAGCGCAGAAGAAGAACCGCGCGGAGATGATCCCATCACGGTCGACTTCTTTCGAGAAGGCAATCCACTGAGCCTGGCCACTAGGAACGAACCGGCCCAAAGGGCGCAAATCCAGCAACTTCAGAAGAAAAAAGGATACATCCATTGCCACCAAGCTGGGACATCACAGAGGAGGACTCTTGGACATTGTCTATGACATCAACGCCAAGAAGTACCAGGATCCTGGTGATCAAGTCATTGTCCAACACATCAAGGCCTTCAAAGCCCTCTTGGACGCTTGGCCGGCTGATCAGGGCCATGTTGCCGGAGCCTGGACCCAGCTCCAAGAGCACCTCAGACGCCAGCGGCGTCCTTGTATCAGGTCAAAGGACCCATGGCCGTTGCCATTGCCTACATGTGGGAATGGCAATGAAAAATCGCTGACTTCTACCAATGGCATCAACCCAGTGCTGACTACGGGCCGGAGATGCGGCTTGATAACCGGGATCCTTGGTCGAAGATTGAACAGCTACTCCTTCAAGAGTGTGGACATGAGGAATGGCATGGATTGGGCAGTCTACCACAAAGTTGCCAAGCGAGCCAACAAAGCTGCACTCACAGCCCTGAAGACTTGGGTCCAAGGTGCCATCCGGCTCAAGGACAACTCCGAGACAATGCCCGTCCCAGGGCAAGACGGGCAAGAGCCACCAGGCTCTGCCCATTGAATGGACGGTACGCGTCAACAACCCTGATGAAGACCCGCTGTGTGCGAGCCTGGATCAACAAGGAGCGCTATGACCACATCACTGGCCAAGCTTCCTTGCTGGGCTATGGGTCATGGCAACACCCGGCCAAGGCTATGCTGTCACCATTATTGATGCAGCGCCCACGACCTATGACACCAGATCTCAAGGCTGGGTCTTTGCCAAGTGTGCGTCCACACTCTATCTCTGGGCCCATGCAAGAGAGGATGGCAGCCAGGCTGCAGGATTGGGGCTCCTTGTGGCAACTTCGAGACGACGGCGCTGCTTTACCACGACCATCACCGAACTGGCGCAGCACCATGCTCGTGAACTTCCTGAACTCACCGTAGGCCACCTCAAGAGGGTCTTGAAACCCCTGCCAGACATAGCCAGCGCGCCAGACGCTGTGTCGACGCAGGTTTTCAATTCTGCTCCGTCTATTCCCAAGCTCATCCAGCAGATGGAAAAAGAGGCGTGTCTTCCATCTCAGTTGAGGCTCCACATGGTGGTGATGCTGGCAAAAAATTCTCAGATAGAAGGACCAATAGCACTCACTTCAATCCTTTACCGAGCCTGGTGCCGGCTTTTGTTGATGAGTGGCAGCGCAGCGCACCCTGCCCGTCGTCTACGTGGCGCTGGTACTCCTGAACGCAGGAGGTCACCAAGGCTACGAACCAACGTGGCATCGCTGTCTTGATGGACGCGCCCACCTCCTATGACCATCTCGCTGACGAGGCCGCCCCTGGCACTGGAGCTGGCCATGCAACTCTACACAGGTATCAAGGCCAGTGTGGCAGAAGAGAAGACGATGCCTTTCTTCCATGTGAGCCATGGCGCGGCGGCGGGTTGCCCCCAAGCGCCCTTACTTGCGAAAGCGTACCTTGCGCCAGCCATAGTCTCACCGGCGCAACAGCGCACCACTATGCGCCTCATACATACATACATACATGCATGCATGCATACATGCATACATGCATACACGCATACATGCATACATGCATGCGTGCGCGCGTGCGTGCACGCATACATACACGCATACCTGCGTGCATACATGCTTACACGCGCGCATACATACATGCGTACACGCATACACGCATACGTGCGTACATACATACATACATACCTACCTACATACATACACACATACGCACATACCTTTACATACATACATAGCATATACCGACGTATACACACACATAAATCCATATACACACATATACATACAAATATACATTTACATACAAATACTTGCATTTACATACATAGACATATACATACAAACATACATTTACATACACATACATACACACACACATACATACATACATACATACATACAGACAGACAGACAGACAGACAGACAGACAGACAGACAACATACATACATACGCGCAGACATACGTGCGTGCGTGCATGCATGCGCGCATCCATTCATCCCTGCGTGCTTGCGCGCTTTAGATGACATACACGACAGAGAGGACATACGTGACATACGTGCCATGCATGCCATACATACCGTACCTACCCTACATACCATCCGTCCATCCACCCATCCACCCACCCATCCATCCATCCATCCTTACATACATACATACATACATACCCCCATGCATACATCTGTACATACATACATCCATACATACATCCATGCACGCACGCGTACATACATACATACATACATACCTACATACATACAGACAGACAGACATACATACACTTACATGCATGCATGCATGCACTCATGCATGGATTCATCCCTGCATGCTTGCGTGCAATACATAGCATACATGGCGGAGAGGACATGCATGACATACGTGCCGTGCATGCCATACATACCGTACATACCCTACATACCATACATACCATCCATCCATCCATCCATCCGTCCGTCCGTCCGTCCGTCCGTCCGTCCATCCATCCATCCATCCATCCATCCATCCATGCATACTACATCCAGACCTACATACATCCATGCATACATCCATACAGACACAACTTCATACACACATACATACATACATACATACAAAGAAAACCTGGTGACAACACTTAGTCAAGGGTGGACGGACCTGTGGGCACCCAAAAAGCGGAATTTGTTGACTTGCAGGTTTTGACCGAACTTTCTGAGGCCTCCGCAGATTGTGGGAGCTGCCGACGCAGGCAGGACGGTTCGCTCTCTTTAGTGATGTCCAATGTCTTGAGTTGCGTGGAACGCAGCAAACAATAACCTTTTGAGGAAGACCAAAAGATCATGTCGCTGTGGTTGTTCATTCCGTTGCAGCCATGGCAAAGGTTCCAAAATAGGGGGTGGCTTGGAGGTCGTCCGAAGAAAGAAGAACCTCAAGTGACAGCAATCGTGTTGCAGCAGGAACACTTCAAAGTTGTCCCTTGTAATCGAAAGTGTGGTTTCTGATCAATGACGGCTTCTGCTCTCGGAGGCTTTGACGCTTTTGTCATTGGCGATGACGAGGCAGAGCATTTGGAGGATGGCTTCACGCCCGAAGCCTGGATCATCTGCAGCGTCGGTCTTGTTGATTACTGTAGTGGCTGGGAGGATCCAGGAGGATTTCTTTTTCTTCAGTCGTGGGTCAGGCGTGATCTCGCTCAAGCATCGCCAAGTGAGGTATGCAGACCGAGAAGATGATGATTGGGCTGCAGGTCGTTGGACTGCTCCAATTGAACGCTTCTTAGATAATTTGTAAACTATATACACTTGTGAAAACATCATTGTTTTTGTCTAGAGCAGAAAGTCGTGGACCCCCGCAGAAGATCATTTGCGGCGAAGTTACCATTTTGAGGCTCTGTTTCATGTAGAACAACCCAGAGAGGGAATTTATTTCTCAAATTCTAGCAACACATTTTTTTTGGCTCCTTTGAAGCAGCTTTGTGAAGGATGCTGCTTCGAAACTCCGAAACACGTGTGACTGTGAGTCGGTGATTAGTGGACGACGACAGGTTTGGGCCTCCAACGGCGTGACAAAGACACCAGGGAGAACGGGTTGGCGCCGATGGACTTGCTGGACACAGGCCCACAATGCGATCGTGTGCAGAGTCGAAGAGTGGGAAACACAACTGAAACGAAGGATGTTGCGGTACTGTTCATTGGTGGAGAACCTACTAGCGATGGCCTCGAACCTACTAGCGCAATTTCTAATGCTGTATCGGATTTTGCACCAGCCTGTGTGTCGCACAGGCAATAGCATCGACCGCCGTGATCGCGCCCTTGACTGACTTCATGCTCCTTCGCTCGAAGAGCGCAACCGAGTTTGAAGCGGCAAAGCTCCTAACACCATTTCCGAGGCTTCATAGCCCAAGACACCCTTTTGGTACATCATACTTTCTGCCTTAAACGGGATGTTGAGCTATTTTTCCCACTTTTCATGCTTCTTAGGGATAAACCTCTAGTACCCCCCAACACGTGGAAGGCCTTGGAGGCGCAGTCGATTTCGGCGCATCATCTTCGTGTCAGCGACACGTCCAAAAGGGATCCTTAGAGGATTCTTGATGCCCCTGGGTGACACGTCCGATGGACGCCACTACCGTGCCCTGGAACGCTTGCAGACCGCTCGGGACAGTGGTCAGGAGCGCCACGAGCTTCGCAAAAGGAGCCAAAAGACTGGTGAGTGCACCGAGAAACAAACACATATACAGTATGTATAATATATATTAATTATTATATATATATATACTGTATATGCATCTCTCAAACAATATGGATGCAAATGGGATATGGGGTAACCCGATTTCAGGCTGACCTAAAGATTCATTCTTCATCTCCGATTGACAAAGGTCCTGCTTGGCGCACAAAGCAACAATCATGAGGTTCAATGCATGCAACAGTTGCAATCGAAATGGGTCAGTTGTATGTAAATAAATAGCACCAGGCAGTGTATTTGTAAGCTCAACTGCTCATTGAATATGTTTCACACGAACCTGACAACAACACAACCCTTGGTTCAGAAGCCTGATCGTTTACCAATGTACACCCCTTCAGCCACGGCAGGTGTGTGTTTTTCTGACCTTCTCCCACTTCACGCAGTGGGTGTCTTAATTGGACGATGCGGGACCTGCGATGCTTCCATACAAGCTCGGACCAAAACACGGCCTTGCAAAAAATCACCTCTCTTCGAGCAATCTTGATTTTTCTCACCCACTGACCCTGCACAGAGGGTGGTAGCTTGGCCTCACTGGCCAGTCCCGCACGCCGCACGCCTCGCCTTGAGGTTTCATCCCGTTCTGATGCAGAACCAATGCGGTGATGTCACCATGCGAGTCTTGGAGTACGAGAGCCAACGAGCTCAGGCGGGTCGGCCCGCGAAGGGCGAACTGCTTGAGGGATCGGATCTTGGGAAGCGAAGCAACAGTGTATTTATGTGTATAGCTACTAGTAGTATCAGTTTGGAGGGCTTTGCTTTCCAGCCAGAGATCAGAGAGTTTATCTACAGCCGAGACGCATCCTTTTGACAGGAGCAGCAGTGGCTTCTCAGTGGGTGTGTCCCGCATTGAGGTGTCCCTCGAAATACTTTGGTTGCAGATATTGGAGCACTTATCAAATGCCCCGAAAGAAGAACTCCTTTACGTAATGATCACGTCCCAGAATCTCGATTGGCATTGGCATGTCAAAAGCACTGTGGAAGTCCATATTGAAGAGCAGAAAAAGGTGGAAGGATATCAGGAACCACCAAATGAGAGCGTGAGAATCACACTGAATCCAAATGCTATAATAAGGACTGACTGACGAATGAGGTGCCCACTTACCAAACTCATACAATAGTATAGTGCTCGCCTAACATTCTACGTTTAGACAGACATGTCCATGATGCACGTTGTACTTGCACTGATAGTGCATCTTGCAGGTGCGCAAGGAAGATATGCTCCGGCGGCAGATGAGACTGCAAGAATTGGGCGATACCTGCACGCCTGAGGAGGGGTCTTCGGGTCCTGCAAAGCACAACTTTAAGTCACAAGTGTTCAAACCTGGGACCAAAACAAAGATCATGTCCGGACCTTTTTGTGCAAATTTTGTATATTCTATTGTCCCAGCCCTGACCTGACAGACCTTGTGGACCATGCAGCTATCCTGCGTCCAGTTACGAGAAGCTGACTTAAACTTAAGCTACTAGCTACCTCTTCTAGCGGCCTACCCCCTGGGCTAAAAGGAGGTCTAAGGAAGAAACGTCTAAAAAGGAATTATGCCAGCATAGACCCCAAACAGTTTCAGCAACATTCCTGCAGCCTCCAGCTGTTTGGGAACGGATTCCCGGGGTCACATGCGGACAAGGCAGTGATAAAAGGGCGGCCAACGCGGACAAGCAGGCCCAACCAGACCCTGACAAGCTCTGGACAAAGCCTTCACAAGGCGGAGAAGAAAGGCCCACGAGCAAGGCAACCATTCCTCCTCCCAGTGCGGCCAAGTCGCCTCAATGGGCCTCAAATAGGGGCATGTTCATGAGCGGGATGCCACAGACCGGACAAGTGGTCCTCAGCAGTCGAGTCAGGTGCGAGACTGCAAAGTTCCCTTGTGCATAGCAAAATGAGTCACAAGCCCCTCCTTCAGGAGGGCAGACGGAGTGGAGGCCGGTTGACTGATCAAGTGTGCATCTGCCTTCGCCAGCCAAACCAAAAGAACAATCTTGGTCAGGTTCGAAATGCAAAGCATGCTGATCCTGGGCTTCCTGATTGTCTTGGAACGAAATTCACCCCTGTAGATCCCAAACAGACCTTGCACGCAACGTGGTCCACTGTCAGCTGCCAGTCGGCCTTGTGGGCTTCACATTGGGGCAGAAGCATGGACTTTTCAATGTGCAGCGTCAGGCGTGGACGAGCATGAACTAGAGCCGTGACCATGCCATACTGCTCATGCCACTCATCAACACATGTCTGCGATTCCTGTGTTGTCTGTTTCACGACTGAGGGAGTCAAGATGATCGGACCAAATCGCCCCATGGTCGTGACACTTGACCATCACATTCTCAGTAAAGCGGCGCTCCCAGGTGTTGTCCACCAAGTGTGGTCTACACCACTTTAAAAAGTGTCCAGTAAAGGTCAGGAGTTCCTGCTGACTTTCCGGTCAGCGCGACTGCGCGGGGCTTGGAACATCTCACGCCCCCAGTGAAGGTCCTGCCAGTGGATCCTTTGACGTGAACGTTGGCCCCAAAAGAATGTCACGACCGTAGCATTAAGCCAGCGTGCCGTAGCCTGATTCACCAGGCGCCAACTCATCACTGCAGCAAGCCATGGTTCTTCAGCAGCTGGGTCACCAGTTGTGTCGGGCGCACGGTATGCTGTCTAAGCCGTGCCTCTATCAGCGCCCACACCGAGTTGTGACTCATCCAATGCGAGGTGTCGTACAACCGGAGGTCTTCGTCAGCCCCAGGAGTTCCTCCAATGCGCCCTGGATCTTCTCCCCCGTGATAGGGGTCTTGTTGGGCAGCTTCTTCTGGCGGATCCTGACTTGGAGTGGATTGTTGATAGCTGTGGTCCAGAGGGGGTCCTGACTGCCTTTGGTTTGCAGCTTGGGGAAACGATCTACGATCTCTTGAAGCACTACCTGGCATAGGACCAGTTCCTTTCACTTCTGGGTGTTGCTCAGGATGGCCGGCGTGATCGAGGTGGGACTGGTGTCTGATCGGACTCCGGCTTAGGCCGCTTCAGAGGGGGGCCGTTTCAGACTCAACGCAAGGAGGACACAGGGATCGCCAGAGGACAGCAGGAGGACAACGGCCACACAACTAGAGGACAAGAGGAGGACAACGCCCCACAGAATTCACCCCAGCCAAACGAGGAGGACAACACCAGGACAACTGGAAGAAGAGGACAACAGGAGGACAGCTGTTTGTTTGTTTCCGTTGGACGGCCTTTCGGCAGGGCCCGCTCCTTCTTTGGAGCTTTCAAAAACTTGGCCTCCTAGACAGGCCAGCTGGCATCAAGCTGAGCCAGGAACTTGGCCAACCCTAAGGTGTTTTCCGGCTCTTCGGCCGCACCTACCCTTTCAGGCGCTCTCACTCCGCGCTGCAGCAGACAGGAGGACAAGGTTCAGGCCAGCGCGGGCTTGCAAGCGTGTCCAGAGGACAGCAGGAGGACATCAGGACGACAAGAGGAGGACAGAGGGTCCGCAAGCGTGGCAGGAGGACACGAGCAGGGTACAGGGTTCGCCAGCTTGGCCAGAGGACAGCAGGACAACAGCAGGACATCTGGAGGACAAGAAAAGGATAACAGGAGGCCAACGCCCGGGCACAAGGTTCAGGGGCGCGGCCGGAGACTGTGGCCACTATCTTCTTTTCTTAAGAGAGGGCCCCAACAGTCACCAGATTCTCCGGACTGACTCTCTATGTCTTTCAGGATAAGAAGCTCTTTGCCAAGGATGAGAAAAAGTGCGCAAGGAGAATGAAGCCTCTTTTGACATCCAAAGCAACTACAAATTTCACGGCTACATGAATGGTGGTGTGTCTTTCGATGCATAGACAAGTGACAAGCGGGCTAATTTAGTATGGACCACAAATTTAGTCAAAGAACCCATGTCCTGTCAGGGAACGATCAATGCTGACAATTTTTCATGTGCTGGAGCGATGCAAACCATTGCAGCTTCAGGTACAGGCTACAGCTGATAAAACAAAACAAACTGATGCATGTTTGCCTTTGTGTTCTGCCAGGGGCTGAGCAGCATTGCGGTTGCAATGCTTTCTGTGAATGAGATTAATTCTTATGTGCTTGTACGCCATACAAAGACCCAAGCAAACACACTGCGGAGACCCATGATGGTCGAAATTTTCTCACTCAGTTTGTTTCGTTGTTTTTGGGCAATGGTCCAATGGCGTCCCTAGCTAGGTGTTTCATTTAGTTGGTTTTGGTCATTCACAGGACATGGAGGTTTGCGAGAATCTCTACGCATGAAATTATCAAAGGGATGATTTGATTCACAGATTCGATTCCATGAACACCTTTTGCAAAAGTGGATAGTTCAACGAAGTCTCCTGCAGTGTGGCGCTTTGGACTGTTCTCAAAAGTTGCATAACCGGGGGTTTCTAGGATGCACTGCTCCAGGATTTTCTTAATGATAACCATGAGGTTGATTCTGACACCAAGTTACATTTGCATCAAAAGAACACACTGGTTACAGCCGGTTCTGCCTAGTTGGAACAGTGTCATTTGAATCATTCGGTGATAAAGGCCCGCAACGAGGATACATCATGATAAGGCACCCTTTGGAGTTTCTTATGCAAATTCTCACGTTGGACCGCCCCGACCACCTGATCCCTGAGGCTGAACTTGGCTGAGGAGATCTCCATCGAGAAAAAGATGGCCTGGTCGACACGGCTCATCGTGAAAACTGTGGGAGAACGGATTTTGCAACATTCTTTAGGTGTCCGGATCACTTTGCTACCTCTTTCTTTGGTTTGCTTAAAGGGTTTGAAGGCTTTTGAAACAAGATCTTTTTGAGTCCTGTTATGCAGACCTGTGCGTCCTCGATTGGTCAAACTTGAGGTGAATCGGAAGATACCCCATCTTCTCATCCAGTTATTGGACAGGACGCGGAACAAACCTAGACCTAGAGTTCACGCACTCCAAGAATGGTGTATATAGATTGTCCAACAGTCTGGCAAAGGATAGGCAATAAACGACAACAGTCTGTTCCTTTTTCTTGATTGAATCGTCTGGGCTGAAAATGTGTGCAATCTCGAAGCAGTCAACAGTACACTCCTTCATCTTCCAGGTCCTGTGCAATGGAGGTTTCTGTTTATTTTTTTTGACTTCTGGACAAGAAAGAGAAGACGGGACACAGAGAGAGAGAGAGAGAGACAGCTCAAGGACAAATCAGTCTTGACCTCAAAAAGAGCCTTGATTTTCGTTCAACATCTTCTACAGGACGCAAGAAGACTTGCTCCTAGTGGTGCTCACCTTTCTCAAAAAGCTGAGCGTCTTTGAGGAAAACAAGGAGAATGCAACTTACTTGGCTGTTGCACTCTGCCAAGCAGCACAAATTGAAAGAATCTTAGGGATGTGCTTTTAAGGACAACCTGACAACTTGTGCTTCACTTGCTTTTACTTGTTCTTCGAACAGTCAGAAATGCAGTTGATGCAATCCTCTGGCCTCCTCTCAATTTGCCACTCGCGAGGATCAGATTGCTGTTCCTGAGACACTCTCCAACTTGGTGAGATTGGCGCAGCATCAGAACCAGCGCATTGCGCTGTTGTCCCTGCGGCTATTGTCCGGGTCTTACTTGCCTCATCTTCCTTTTCTGGTCGTTTGAGGTTTGGGAATAGATGACCTGTAAACAAGTATTTGACTTGTGACTTGTAGAGGTTCAACCTCTCTTTCGACGAGCGCGTGCGCGCTGCCCTGGTGGAGAGCGGAATCGTCAAGTTGCTGGTTCGCCGCGGGGGGTTATTGGACCGTCGTGGGTGTTGTCACTGTTATGACTTGAACGGGGTGAAGAATTCAAGTGAAGCCAAGGGCAGCAGCGGCAATTGGTGCTAAAAGCTGGAATGTGTTAGTTGGACCGCAGGAGAGCAGACTTTATTGTGCTCCTTGAACATAAACTGAGATTTTCATCAATTCCTTAGCGCAACTTGGGGGCAGCAAACCCTGCATCAGGTGGATCTGCTGAAGAACCCGCCCTTCCGGCACATCGTCCTTCGGTTGTTGCCAGGGCCTCAAGAGGGTGACACGTGCGGTTTGAATTTTTGTGCTTCGATTGGATTCCTATGAATTCAGACTATCCGAACAGATGCATCCGCTTGGCCTACCGATTCAAAGCATTGCAGTCTTTGAGATTCTTTGAGTGATTTGGGAGATGATCAGTGCTAAGGAAAAGTCTCGTGTATCAACCCACAATTGAGCTACAAGAGAAAGGAACATCCACACTGCCGAGGTATCACTTTTCAATGGACGATCGATGCAAGTCACTGATGGCCTACCACAGGGACTGAATGCTGAGATCAAGATGCATGTCAGTGTAAAAGCAATGGAATTCTTCTGGGCCCAAGGCAAATCGGCAGGGTTCGGATCTCTTAAAATAATGGCCTGACAATGCGTGAGGCAAGTCCAGGGTGTTGGGCATCCAGTCAGATGAGCTACCTAGCTACTACCTTCCTCTACGGCCAACCCCCCCGGGCTTAAACAAAAGGAGATTTCATTGACGACGGTGGAGCTATTTGCAGGACGGCATGATCATGCTGTTGCAGCTCGTGGTGCACTTTCCAGAGCCGCGTGTCGGCAAGGACCGATTTCTTCAGATCAACTGGAGAAGAAGGCAACATGGTGCAGTAGTGGGCACAGTTGGTATTCGCTAGTTACTTTTCTGCATATATTACTTGAGCAAGCATTTGGCTACATTTTGAAAGTCTCTCCCTTGTTTCCACACCACTGAAGAGTAGTAGGTGCTCATCTGGAGAGAAGGGAACTTGACTTCAGGGGCACCATTGATTAAAATCGGGGGCCATTTAATTTAGGATCTTCTTTGTTTCTTTTTTAGGATTTGTTTTTGTTTCTCGTGGCTTTTGGCTTTCGTGGCTTTTGTAGCTTCTGTGGCTTTTGTGGCTTCCGTGGCTAGTGTGGCTTCCGTGGCTTTTGTGGCTTCCGTGGCTTTTGGCTTTGGTGGCTTTCGTGGCTTCTGTGGCTTTTGGCTTTTCTGTGGCTTTTGTGGCGTTTGGCTTTCGTTGCTTTCGTGGCTTCTGGCTGTTTGCTACTAGTCCATCTTTGGAGGAATGTGAAGTCCGAGGCACAGCTACCAGATGTAAGACGGTCTTGTTTTCATCCAGACGATTCCTTTGGTGGCTTTTGGCTTTTGGTGGCTTTTCGCTTTTGGTGGCTTTTGATGACTTTGGCTTTCGGTGTTTTTTTACCTTTTCGTGGCTTCGGCTGGCTTCTGTTGGCTTTTCGTGTCTTCATTCACTGATATGGTGTAAATAAATATGCCTGGCTGTTTGCCAGCTACGACAGCTCCCAAATCTGTCTACCTGTCCATCTATCTGTCTATATCTATCTGTCTATATCTATCTTTCTATCTGTCTGTCTATCCATCTATCTATCTTTATTTCTTTCTTTCTGTCTTTCATTCGTTCTTTCTGTCTTTCTGTCTTTCTGTCTTTCTTTCTTTCTTTCTTTCTCTTTGGCAGCTGTTCTTCTTTCTCTTTTTCTCTTTTTGCTTTTGCTTTTCCATTTGTTTGCTTTGCAGAGGAGAAACCAAACAAGGAAGCAAGCAAGCAAGCAAGCAAGCAAGCACGAGCTGCTCACCTTTGGATCTGGTGTGCTGCTGGGGGGGGCGCTGCGCCTCCCCAACCCCCCCCGGCGCCACGAAATCTGCACTTCATCTCCGACACCCGCGCCTGCCACGAAAGTGAACTCCCCGGTGCAAAAAAATTCTAACCAAGCAAATATGCCTCCTGTGCTAGTTCTCTTTCTCTTTGCTGTTTCTCTGCTAACTGCACCAAACTGTTGTGATAGGTAGGAATTTCTCTGACACCTATATACACCATTCCATTGTATTTTGCCAGCTACGACAGCTCCCAAATCTGTCTACCTATCCATCCATCTGTCTACATCTATCTGTCTATATCTGTCTGTCTATCTGTCTGTCTGTCTATCGATCTATCGATCTATCTCTCGATCTATCTATCTATCTGTCTATCGATCTTTCTATCTATCTATCTATCTCTTTCTTTATTGTGTCTGTCTTTCTTTCTGTCTGTCTTTCTTTCTTTCCTTAATTCTTTCCTATCTACCCATCTACCTATCTACCTATCTATGTACCTATCCATCCATCCATCCATCTATCTATCTATCTATCCATCCATTTATCTGTCCATCTTTCTATCTGTTTATCTATCTAGCTATCTAGCACCTGCCACAAAATCTGCACTTCAAGGTCCACAAAGTACTGTACCTGCCACGAAATCTGCACTCCGAGGCCCACAAAGTCCTGCACCTGCCACGAAATCTGCACTTCAAGGTCCACAAAGTACCTCGCCTGCCACGAAACACGAAAAACAACAAAATCCCAAACAAAAACAAGAAACACACCTAAATTAAATCCGAACCCATTAAAATCGTCTCGCGTCGGCTCCGTGAGGATTTGGTGGCACTCATGGTAAACTTAGCCAGCAATGCGCGTGCGGCAGAGGCAGGGAAACGCAGGACAACCGCGGGGACTGCCAGCACTTTTGTGCCCTTGGTTGGGGTTGGACGTTGGGACACTCGATCGAGGGAGACGATCAGTCCGTCTCATGCAGACGAGAGTCGTGTGCAAGTGGACGGACTTCGTTGGTGCCTTTGTCGGTCTTCATGTCCCGACACTTGCAGAGGAAATGCCAAACGGCGACCTTGCAACCACCACTCAACAACAACAACAACAACAGCAGCAGCAGCAGCAACAGCAACAACAACAACAACAACAAGAACAAGTCCCTGAGGAATGAAGAGGTTGCTTCTGCTGCAGTGTCAGAAGATTGTCTAGGTCCCACAGAAGACATGAGATCTTTGTTGAAAAAGCATTGGTGAGCAGCCACTGTCCTTACGCCATGAGCTCTTGACATTGGTAATTTCTGATCACTCTTCCGATTTGGAGGCAACAAGCAGGTAGAGGATCGATCGGGTCATCCCTGAACCAAGACGGCCCTGACCATCTGGCCTGAAACCGTTCTTGAGACCAGAGATTCTGTGATGCGTTACGCTGTATAATACCTGGATTATATGTATATATAATATATATTGGGAATATATGAGAAATCAGTCTTTCATCCAAGTTGTGATATCCGACTTCAGAAACCGTGCAGAGAGGTCATCGTCCAAAGCGGGCTATTTCCTCCAATTATGCTCCGTGTGATGAAGCACCGTGATCCCCTTCTCTGCAAGGCCACGGGGTTTCGAACTTTGAGCCAGACTCGACCCGAAAAAGCTTGGAGGGCTCGAAAGCTTGCTGGAGCTGCGCTTAACAAAGCTAGTTCGAGACTTTGATCAAATTTTGGGCTAAGTAGGGTTGCCAGAGTCCTAAAGTCAGTGTAAGGTGATCAAAGGTCTCCAACGGCGGCCCTTGGCGAGGTGATTCGAAACGTGGCTTCTCACTCTGGCGTTTTGGAACAGATGTGCGAGGTCTTGGACACTGAAGGCGTCCAGACCTCAGAGAATAGATGCAAAACTGGAGGATGAATCAGGATGAAGGTTCTGGTGTGTTCCCGCCACGTGGATTTGGAGGTCTTCCGTTTTGCAGCCGCACCTGTTGTTGTTTGCAGAGCTCAGAAGTTTTGGCTCTTGTTGTCTTCGTACAACAGAAGTGCGTTTGATTCGTAGTGGTTGAGATTTCAAGCACAATTCTTGCAAACAAGAATTCATTTACGTTCACATCTGCCCAGTTTCAGCCCAAATCATTCTTGAAGGTTGGGTCTAAGACTTTGTGGACACAATCATTCACGAGCCTCAGGGCTTCCCAAATCGGGCCTTTTCAATGCTGAGGTCCGGATGGCAAAGTGGATGAATGAATTCGTGCGCATGGCCGTGTGCTCGGTCGACCACCCTGACTTCCTCGTCGAGGCCAGAGCACTGTGGAAGCGAATACTTGGAAACTGGTTCGATGCCAAGGACACAGAGAAGAATCAACTGTGGAGTGACAGCAAGACATTCGTTTCTACAAGTGAGGTGGCTGTTGGGTCGCCTCATGGACTCTCAGTGTTTGCCAAACCCATCCAAGCAGTTTAGTGTAAGCACCAATCAGCACTGGTGAGCCCAGAAAGGAATTCACCACCTGGAACTTGGGGCAGCACCGACCTTGTGTTGAGATCAATGTTGAGATGCTGCATCCCAGCTTTTGTCATCAACAGTCTTCCGAAACTGCCATTTCCGAAGCTCCTTTGCAAAACACCTTCGACCAAACTCCGTGTTTTCACCCTTGGATCCAGCGCTGAGTGCAGGTCTTGGGGACTTTGGCCAATGTGACCTTGGAAGAGGCCTCCTCGCTCCAAAGCGCTCCCAAGCTAAGAAGCTTTTGCTACTTGTATTGGTTTCCACGACGATCTTGAATTCATTGACTGCCTCTCAAATCTCTAAGTCAGCAGATTTATATGTTTCCAACTTTCCTCAATTTCTCTTGAAGGAATTTTCCAATCAACCTAGGAGCAAGGACGCTACTAGGGGCTCCTGGCATCGCTACTAGGAGCAAGAAGCTACTGTAATAGAAACAAGAATTAGAAGTAAAACCCGTCCAATGGCGGATGTTTGCCGTTTTCCCTGCAGTGGCTCCAGCGGGGCCGAAGCGTCACGAGTTCCGCGCCATGCCGCGGCCTGGCTCGGCGCCCTTGAGGGTCCCCGCACGGCCACAGTTCTTCTGGGCGCTGCGCCCAGAAGACGTGCCACATCTGGAGGTCAGACCTCGGTCTCCGTCTCCATCGAATGATCCCACAAGCTGGATCAGGAACAGGCTGGGTCGATCAAAGAGACAGATGAATGTTTATTTTCTTCTTTTTCCCCTATATTCCCTATATACACAGAGATGCTGTTTCACCATCAGTTTTCAGAAAGCATCCTTTTCTATGCCTGTTCACCCTCGATTCATGGGCCTTGAGGCATCAAGAAGGCTGTGGCCGCGTGTGTGCATCCTACTTGGAGGATGACAGAGGAATAACCTGTCCAGTAGAGCGAGTGACTTGAAGGCGTCATAGTGGCAGCCACTTGCTATTTGTTCCCAGCGCGTTTTTGCCAAGTGGTGGCTGTGAAATGTGCATGTGTGACAAGTTGCTTCTAAGGGCAGGGGACGACTTGGAAAGGTGCTCACATGTTTCCTAAATCCCGCCCTTTGCATTCTTTTAAACGATTGCTAGCTATAAATCTAAACACATCTGGGCGTACCTTTCAATGATGGTTTTCCCGGCTTCCGGTTTGCGTGCGCTGAGGCCTTGCGGAAACCCTTGTTGGGCCGTCCGCAGAGTGCACCCCAAATCTTTCAGGTGCCTTGTCTTCTACAGCGTTGACTTCAAAAAGATTGATATTTTCATCCGTGGTCATGTAATTTGTGTCTGAATTCATACGAGAAACCGGCGGCCCTTGGGTGTTTGCCATCGTTGTGAGACCAAACCCGGTGGCGTGTCGGCCACGGAGTCTTGAGGGTCCGAACCCAGGAAAGCCTGAGAAACAACCGAGGGTTCGAGGGTTTCTGGAGCCCCAACGTTTTCCCACTTTTCCAGCAACCCAAGAAGGAACAGTAATAATAATGTATTTAAACAAAACAAAGGGATGACATGAAGAAAGACACCCCACATTTCGATGTGGTCACACTGGGCAGTTTCGTGACTGTCCCAGGCGAGAGAGAACCTTCGACAGCAGAAGCAGAGAAACTTGAAGGTCTCTAGGTGCCGCAGAGTTGTCGCAGATTCAAGCGGTGTGGGGTAAAGACTGCCTGGTTGAAAGAAGACTGCCTGGTTGAAAGACAAGAAATCAACTAGCAGACTAGCATCGGTGTTTAAGTTTGGGTCCTCAGTTTTGACCACACAGGGCCACGTTTCGCTAGATTCACTGCCTCCAGGCTTCACTGCCAGCCGACAAGCACGACTTCCTGCGAGGCGGCTGCGGAGATGGCCAAGCGCTTGGGATATGTGCCTGGAAAGCCTCGGATGAAGGAGCCGTGGGTGGGAGGGAACTGCACGCGACAATGCCGGGTTTTCTTCAGGCTAAAGCATGTGCACCGGATTAGCACAGTAGCAGCAATTTCAGACAGCTATGTCCAGGAGCTACTAGTAGCTTTTTGTTCCTAGTAGCCGTGGCCTCCAACCTACTTGCGATGGCCTCCACCTGATAGCGTCCTTGCGAATTGGAGAAGGATTTGTAAAGGAGCCCAGTCCACACTGTTTTCAAGCGCCTGGCCAGGCGAAGTCGCGCTTCCCAAAGCAGGAATCGGATCTTCCAGAGGTCCTGGAACACATGAAGAAGCTTCTAGCTGAACAGAAAGCCTTAATGCAAAAGCCACTGGAATCCCAGGAGGTGCAGCTCACAAAGCACAAAGATGTGTCTGGTCTGAGCTTTGAGCATGTGGGAACTGCCAAATAGAAAAGTCTCCCTACAGTGCACCCTCTGTCCATTTTAGAAGAAGGACCTTTGGACGGTCATGGAGGAGCTTCTCAGCCTCTTGTCACACCATCATAAACACCAGTCGCCATCGCCATCATTATCATATGTCATCGTTTGGATCGGTGTCACCCAATCAGAACGAACCGTCATCTGAGGTCTGTGAACTGAAGTTTCCGGAGAATGGGGCCCGGCTGTTGGCGAATCGATGGCGGAAAGGCCACAGCGAGCAACCGCTCTTAGATGGCGCCAAACGGAGAAGGCCGTCAGTGGAGTGACGTGAGGTGTTTACGTGACCAATGGGCGCCAACAGGGAGTAAACAAGCACTGCAAGCATGCTTTGAACGCGATATTGATTTATTTATTGTTTGTTTTTTGAGGGGGGGTAGGCCGCTATAGAAGAGGTAAGCTAGTTAGTAGCCACCAGGTACTGGACGCTTCTACCTAGGGCGCAGGATAGCTCACGCTATTCATTTGGTTCCTAGATTTTTAGGAAATTGTGGTGAGTCAAATGGATCGAGCAATTAAGGACTTTTTCACAGCTTGCACCCATGATTAATACGCCTGTCCAAAATGGGCTGAATGGCAGGCAGGAGCTGATACGCGAGGACATACGCCAACTGAGGACATCCCACAAGGGAAAGTCCAATGAAGGCGTGATTGAAATTGAAATCTATGGCCAAGCCTGTTGATTTCACCGTCAACCATAGAGTCCATAGTGTTGAAAAAGGAGTTTGAGGTGTTAAGCTTTGCATTTCACCTATCAGTTCAGCAGTTTTGCTTCAAAGTCTAATCCCACAAAACCAGATCCTTATTATCATGCTTTTCCCACATGGATCGGACCTTTTTAGGGCTCAAAGCATTTCCGTATCCGCCACGCTTTGTCATGGCGGAGCCATCCCGCGATCCAGCCGCCTACGAGGTGTTTATCCTTAGAGTTTTGTTGTGTTCGGTGAGCTATGATGCTCAAACTCCATCCTACATACGTTTGGTGATGCTGACAATGCATACAAAAACCTTTTGCTCAAGCAGCATTCTTTACACTTATAAACGATTTGATAGGATACATCATCCTGGTCTATTTTTACCTTGGCGTTAAGCAATCAATCCGGTATGTTATTTTTGTTTGGCTCAAATCTTGAGAGTGCTATCTACAATTCAAAAGTACAGAGCCACTGGAACAACTTCAAACTGCGCTATCACATCGGATGTTGGACGAGATCGTCACACATATCGAATTTGGAGCAGCATCTCTTGATTGAATTTGATTGTCTTGAACATTGCCATAAAGACTGAGCAGACGCACAAGGTTCTTGGAAAATCGCTGGAATATCAGGTTAGGCTCAAGTTGTTTCACCATGTCGCCTTGCGGTTTATAGCAGCAAGCTGTGTGTGGTGCGCAACTATTTGATCTCACTTGGGACGGTGGGCATTGAGTGGCTTCGGCTCAACAATCAACAGAGAGCCCGCAGGAAGGGCCGCAGCCAGGCTGCATCAGACACTGCTGACCGGTATTTGGCCGGGTGTCAGCACAGTTCCTTCCGCGGATTTCTTGGACATTGCTTTAAGTGCCTGTTCGGTGTGGCTGGTGAAGATGCTGCAGCGCTGTCCATGGCGCAATGTTGCCAAAAAATACTGTTGGGTGGATGCGCCAGTGCAGTGTTGAAATTGGATGGCCATGAAATTGGAGTTTGGCATCTGATGGTTTGTTGATGAGTGCTAGCTCGGGGCTCAGGACAGTGTTTTGGTGTTGGAGATTTTTGTTGCAAAGATCTGTGTCCTGCGATGCAAGTGGCGCCAAAGGAGAACTGCAAGGACATGGGCTCTTTCAACATGTGCTTGACTCCGCTGGCAGCACGCCTGGCCCACTGCATCGCTCTTCGAAAGCTCTGCACTCACCAAACGGTGCACATCACGCTGCGCTGGCTGTTCACTTTGAGAAAGCTTGACGAACCAGAGCTTGTTTCCTTCACCATCAACATGGAATCGCTACTCCTGGTCGTGGAGGCGGCTTGGTCAATTTTTGCCTTAAGCCGGTGCTGTGCAAATCTCTCAAAGCGGAGGATGGGTTGAATCTTCGCGACAGGCAACCAACTTGGGGCAGTTGAAAGTGCTTGTGGCAGGCGCAAGTAGCAGGAGCGCCCCTAGCAGCGTCCTTGCTCCGTTCGCGCTCTTTGTTCCGTTCGTAGCATCCTTCTTCCTAAGTATTGCTCGCTTTGTCGTGTGGAGTCGTTGACCTTGCCGGAACGCCAAACGCGTACATGTGCAGTGGCTATGCGCGCAAGACTTCAAGCTGTCACGGAACGTCTTGCAAAACGAAACCCGCCAGAAAATGCAGGCGGTTGCAAGCAACTGCTGTATTCACCTTGTTGATGCAAGGGAGCCGCTCACTACAGGGACAACAGCTACAGCAGAAACTCCTGCCATGTCCAAGTTAGAGAGTAGAAGCAGTTTGTGCGTGATGGAGCATGTGAGGCCCGTGATGAGCCGGGGAGATCCTCGGTTCAAACTGGTTTCCAATATGGCTGAGCGTTGTTTGAGCACACTGTCAACTGCAAGAACTTGTGCCACATAGCGAGCGGGAACCAAGAAAAAATGCATTAATCACATACCTGGCAGTGTCGCACGACAGAAAAGGTCCACACGTTCGAATCCTCTTCAAGTACTGATTGATGCCACTCAAATTGCATTATGTTGCGTTGATAGTTGCCGAAGCCAGCCTGCAATGAAACTACTTGCACCCCGTTTAAAAATCCGAGGCCGTCATTTTTTCTAGATGACCTCCGGCAGCTTTGGGTAGTGAAAACTGAGACGGTCATTTCACACGGATGGACAACTTTGATGACCCCTTCGCTGACATGACTTCGCCGTCAGCACGGCCGTGCGAGGCCCCAAGCTCGAAAGGCTCCAGCTTCCTGGGTTCCGCAAATGTGGATGTGAGGCTTCATGGTCTGCAGTTTGCCAGAACATGTTGAGTGGTTTGGTTTGTTTTTCTGGAGTCTTGAGAGGTCAGAAAAATCGTTTGATTCGAAGCAGAAGATTAGGGGAGTCATCCACAGGTGGGGCGTGTGGGCTTTGAGTTGTTCGGGATTGGCAAGGTTTGTTCAGAGTATATTCATGGCCGAGGTTGCCTGAGGACCAATGGATGGCGAAGTTGCGGGCAAATGTGTACAAGGAAGGGATTGTGCAGCACAGAGAGGGCTATTGAACGCTCAGCTTTGTTTGACTACTGGCTGCTTGATTGATCAGAAGATCAAGAAGTCCTGCTGCGCACAGTGTTTTTGACAATAGGCAGTCGCAGAAAAATGGTGCACCAAGTGTACCAAACAATCCCCAGGCAAAACCTATTTCTATCCCGCAGCACTTGGTTGGATCTTCGCAGCATCGCCTCGCGTTGCACAGACAGGTGTTGCGCAAGAAGGCGACAGAGCCTGGGCATCGCATAAAGTTCCCTGAAGGTGGGGATGTTGAGATGACAAATGCAGATTTCCGATGAAGTTGTTGAGCGAATGTTTGATGGCTTTTGATTGAGATGATGTTAACGATTCACCTTGCTGATTTCCGTCTGTCATACCTTGAAAACCCTCAAACCACGACACTACGTGTTATGTATAGTAGATTGTGTAACTTTTGGTTGGTCCTCAAATGTCCTCAATGGTTTTTGTCCTTTTGCATTCTGCATGTTTTCTTTCCTTCGGGCTTTGCAAAAGCCAGGGTGCAAACCGGAGCTACAGAACTGCCAGGCTTTGACGACCACAAAGAGGAGGGCGTTTACCTTTGTGCCGGCTGCCATGCTGCTGGGCAACAGGCTGACCGAAGGGTGACCATTCTTTGTTGATTGAGCTGGAGATGCATGAAATATACTGTATACTGTATCACCTTGAGGGAGGAGCTTGAAGCATTGCTCTCCTCGAGTTGACTCATAGTTTAGACACAAAGCATAAGGAGCGAAGAGAAACTGATGAAAGCTTGTATTGCCGTTTGTTACTAGTAGCGATGCGCTGTGTTACTAGTAGCATCCTTGTTACTAGTAGTATTGCCAGGACCTACTAGTAGCGTCTTTGCTCCTAGTAGCGATGCCCTCTGTTACTAGTAGCTTGCTCCAGCAGGAGAAAAGGAGACAACCTTTGGGCCCTGCTTTAGGTGCCTTTGTACACCTCGAAGATGAAGTTCGAGTGCGGCTGCGGTTGGCCTGGCTTTTGGACAAATGTCAAGGTGGGGGCCTCCAGTTGTTTTGCAGGTTTGGTCGATTCAGGGTTCAGTCGTTTTCTAATGTTCGGCATGTAACATCCGAATCCACAGACCTCCAGATAGCTTCAGCATTTTGACTGGGATAAAGAAAGAACATGTTGCTACTTGTCTATATAGTAGCGATGGCCTCAACTTAATAGCGATGGCCTCCAACCTAGTAGCTTCCAGCTACTAGTAGCGATGCCCTTGTTACTAGTAGCTTCTCGTTACTAGTAGTAAGGCCGGGAGCTACTAGTAGCTTCTTGCTCCTAGTAGCGATGCCCTTCAGCCTTTTCACTCACCCCGCTCGACATCCAACCGCAGGATGCTGTCTACGAGCAGAGAGATGCCGATGGTCGAAGGAGAGGATTGGGCATTGCTTTCTTTCGGACAGAGTTGTCAATGTGGTGCCAAGTGAACGGAACGATCCGTTGATTGCTCAAGGTTTAGACAGAAACATGAGTCCGCAGCTTTGCAATCGGCTGCAGTCCTTTGACCAGGTCACTGGCGCAAACACTCGCAAACTACCCCAAGTTGCCAACCTCCAACCAGTTTGTCGCCGAAGATGCAGGGGATGACGCAAGTATTTTACACAGTTCCCCAAATCTGGTGATTTACAGCTACTTCCAATGTACGTGAGGGCAGCAATATGAGTTACTACATTCTTGGCTGGCAGAGTCTAGACACTTGCAGCGACCCAAACCCTGAGCTTTGCAAGAAGGTCATCCAAGATAGCGCAGAATCTCATAGTGACCTCATTATGATGTCATACCCTGATGGCAGTGGAATGTTGGAGGAGATGGACATGTTAGAGTCTAGACTAGAAAGATGTCTCGCAGATCTCAACAAAGTATTGACGAAGTAACTGCGGCAACTGCGGTTGAAGAGTGAGGTCCTGAGAGACATGCGTAGCATTGCATAGCTTCCCATTTTTCGCCATATCTTTCATTTGTAGCAGGGATCAAGAATCGGACAAAATCAAGTGACAATCAATTGACCAATGCTCAGGGCAGATTCAATGATGCGACTGTGGATCACAAATGATCTTAGTTTTCATTTTCTTGTGTACAGTGAGGGCGTTCAAATGCATGAAGGAACTTGTTGCTCTAAAGGAACCCATACGACGACTGACCGTGTCATCGACAGGTGCGAGATCCTGTGCTCCAAGTGTTGACTCCTCAGATGTAAAAATCACCTCCGCAGCATTGATCTCGAAGATTGGGAGGAAGAGTAGGAAGGCAATGGCAACCATGTTTTTTGTGCCCTTGTGGTTGGGTGAGGGGATGAGGCTTTCCTCAGCACGTAGCGTTTGTTCACACATGGAGAGGCTGCTAGAGGGTTAAGAAGATTGGCATGGGATCTAAGTCTAGTTAAGGATAGGTGGACAATGTGGAACCAACTGAGGGCAAGGCACACAAACTCCGATTGACCGCCTTTAGACGGTGCCTTCTTGATCCCCACCATTGGAGGAAGAAGGATGCATTGTGGCACCTCAAAGGTTTGAAAGGTCAAAAGTAGAGCACGTCTCTCCCACTAAGAGCGATGGCCTCCAGCAGTAGCTTCTTGGTACTAGTAGTAATGGCCTCCCTAATGGCGAACTCAAAAGCAAAACATGTCTCTGCCACACTCGTTCGGCAGAGTTACGAACGCCCACGAGTCCCGCACAAGTCGCTCCCAAACGATCAGACTCGGACCACTGAGGCAATGGCCACCTGGGCCATGTCTTCCGTGGAGAGGTGAGAGCTTTTGAAGACGTTCTTCCAAGACTTCGGTCCTGAGGCTTTGGAGGTATGCAGACCTGAACTCTTGATTCTATATAGGCAGTTTTTTCCCGAAAGCATTGCGAAGGGTTCTTCCGGAAAATCTCTTGAACACTGACACTTCTACACTTACACTTGAACACTGACACTTCTACACTTACACTTCTACACTTACACTTGAACACTTACACTTCTATACTCACAATGGCACAGAAGTATCCAAGTGAAAGTTTGTTTGTAAGTGTAAGTATCCCAGTGTGAGTGTAAGAGTGAAAGCATGAGTATCCCAGTGTAAGTGTAAGAGTGAAAGCATCCAAGTGCAAGTATGCAAGTGTAAGTATCCAAGTGCAAGTATGCAAGTGTAAGTATCCCAGTGCAAGTATGCAAGTGTGAGTATTGAAAACTTTCAGGGAGATGTTCTAATGAAAATGCAACCCTCTGCGGAGATCGTGCGTGTTGAGGGCACGAAATGCAGGCGAGAGTGCGATTTGTCCGGTGTGCGCGCGACCCTCTGCGGAGATCGTGCGGGTCGAGTGCGCGAAAAGGAGGAGTGCGATTTGTCCGGTGCGCGCGCAACCCTCTGCGGAGATCGTGCGTGTCGAGTGCGCGATATGCAGGCGAGAGTGCGATTTGTCCCCTGTGCGCGCAACCCTCTGCGGAGATCGTGCGGGTCGAGTGCGCGACATGCAGGCGAGAGTGCGATTTGCCCCATGCGCGCGCAACCCTCTGCGGAGATCGTGCGGGTCGAGCGCGCGAAATGCAGGCGAGAGTGCGATTTATCCCATACGTGCACAACCCTCTGCGGAGACCGTGCGGGTCGAGTGCGCGAAAAGCAGGCGAGAGGGCGACTTGTCCCATGCGCGCGCGTATCTGGGGAGCTGGAAGATGAGAACTGGCGACTTTGTAGTACAACTGTAGTACGCGGAGTAGCTGGGGAGCTGGAAGATGAGAACTGGCGACTTTGTAGTAAAACTTTAGTGAACTGGGGACGTCGAAGTGGAAGATGAAAACTAGGGACGTCGTAGTACAACTTCAGAAGGCGGAGTCGCGGAGTATCTGGGGAGCTGGAAGATGAGAACTGGCGGGCGACTTGGTAGTACAACTTCAGTAGGCGGAGTCGCGGAGTATCTGCAGAGCTGGAAGATGAGAACTGGCGACTTGGTAGTGCAACTTGAGTACGCAGAGTATCTGGGGAGCTGGAAGATGAGAAGTGGCGACTCTGTAGTACAATTATAGTACGCGGAGTACCACTAGTGACTTGGTAGTACAACTGTAGTACGCGGAGTATCTGGGGAGCTGGAAGATGAGAGCTGGCGACGTCGTAGTACAACTTTATACGCGGAGTATCTGGGTCGCGGAGAAGCTGGGGAGCTGGAAGATGAGAACTGGCGACGTTGTAGTACAACTGTAGTAGGCGGAGTCTCTGGCGAGCTGGAAGATGAGAACTGGCGACTTGGTTGGACTACTGTAGTATGCGGAGTATCTGGGCAGCTGGAAGAGGAGAATTGGTGACTTGGAACATGAGAACTGGCGAGTGGGTAGTAGCACCTACTCCATCTCTTTAAAGGCGGAGGGTGGGACGAACAGCGTCAACCGAAAATGCGACCCTCTGCGGAGATCGTGCATGTTGAGGGAACGAAATGCAGGCGAGAGTGCGATTTGTCCGGTGTGCGCGCGACCCTCTGCGGAGATCGCGCGGGTCGAGCGCGCGAAATGCAGTGCGTGTCGAGTGCGCGAAAAAAGCAGGCGAGAGTGCGATTTGTCCGGTGTGCGCGCAAAGCTCTGCGGAGATCATGCGTCCCATGCGCGCGCAACCCTCTGCGGAGATCGTGCGGGTCGAGTGCGCGAAATGCAGGCGAGAGTGCGATTTGTCTGGTGTGCGCGCAGCCCTCCGCGGAGATCGTGCGGGTCGAGTGCGCGAAATGCAGGCGAGAGTGCGATTT